TATAATTGATATCGACACCTACAGATGAATCAGGACAACTTACTGTTATTCACGAAGAAGATAAATGGGGATTTATAATAATTACCTGAACATCGATATCGATACGATATCGTCGATATCGTTGATATCCACACATACAGATGAACCAGGGCAACTGATGAAGTAGATGAATGGGGTATATAGTGATCAAGTTAATATCGATATCGATGACGATATCGTCGATATCGTAACTACATCGTGTCTTGGACATACCTCTCATTTCTGCTATGTACATTTTGTCAAAAAATAATTTCTAAGATAAAACTAAAAAAAAAAACAACGCTAAAATGTCAATAAAAGCAGTAACCCTATCATATAGTTGTATCATCAATTTTTTGGTAGAAAAGGTGGTAGAAAATCAGAACTTGTTGTCTTGTCAGATTTTCTCTATCAGTTACAGTTGTCATGATATTATACAATAACTTGCATTTTAATCTGCATTTACCCTGAGACTATGTCCCAGATTTACCCTTATGCTGTATGTTAGAAAAAGTGGCCAGGTTGATTTGAATGTTATCGGACATAAGTTATAGAGTGGACTCCCTCAGAATGATGTAGGTTATTATATAAAGTTTGGTTCGTATATTGACCCAGCGGTTTTAGAGATTTAAAAACAATGCGCAGGACCATCGACGGACGCAAAGTGGTGACAAATGCTCACACTGGTCCAATGAGCCAGGTGAAAATGATGACTGGTTCAAAGTATGGAATTGAAAAGAAAGCGCACTTAAAGATTAAAATTCCAAATTATGGGACAAGAACGGGTCATTTTATAGTAATGGGTTCATGATATAATGAGCGAAGAACGTTTTAGAGTTTTATTACCTGTATTTACCTGAGTTTACCTGTCAAAAAAATGCGCGCAAATGTAATCAAAAGCTGTGCGCAAATGTAATGGTAATGCGCGCAAATGTAATGGTAATGCGCGCAAACGTAATGCACCGCAAAGAACAACATCATAATGACGATATCGGAAAATTAAACTAAAAAATAAAGTGGATGCAAACAAATGAAATGACCGTTATTCTGTGAAGTGATGACACACCGTTGATATTCTAAATCAAGATTCACAATATCTTATGACTTATGAAATCAAAAGACAGTGAAAAGCATACTTTACAAATTGTTTTCGAAATAATCAATTGGATGGAATGAAACTCGTATAAGTTTTGTATTAGAAAACAGTTAATTCATATCGTCCCGATCAAATGTGTATGCCGATTTCTGCATTGGTAATTTTAAAAAGGTTCTAGATATCTGAAAAAAAATCAAAGTTTCATAAAAATCTCAGTAATGCAAAGAATAAAGCTCTCGTTGAGACAAGATAGACATCAGTTTATATAACTGAAACATCGTGATATGTTCTATAGAAGCTCAGGCCCCTAATGTATTGACTTCCATGCTGCCAATTGATACATTTTTTTACCTTTCCACAAGCCAGGTGCAACTGTATTTGATCCTGTGAGAAGAAACACTAAATACACACATCAAATGTATTCAATTATAACAATTCAATAAGCAGTTAACCAATTAATTTTAGACACTTAGTTACTTATGGGAAGTTTATATATACTTCCAGTGAATGTGTGTGGACTCTTGAAATTGTTACATGATATGGTATTATTTACTTTTACATCAGAAGGTTGAGGTGTAGGACATATACTTAACCTTAGTACAGAAATTCTAATTATGTTGACTCAATATGTATCACTGTAAAACAGTAACGATTAATTGCCGAACCTTTGCTTTAATCAGTAAGATAATCTTCTATATTTCATCAAAAGTTTTAATTGCCAATTCATTGTAGTCCCAGATTTCTCCGATGTCCAATGGCCTCTTTGGGGAAAGGAAAGTCGGACTATTGTCAGTGGTTCAACAGGGATTTACACTATGCATCTAAAAAACTGTATGCTTCAAATGTTATATATACGTTTTTTTTTTTATCTCAATTGAACTTTTATATTTTTCATGTCAGGGCCTTTTATAGCAGACTATACGGTATGGGTTTTTCTCATTGTTGAAGGCCGTACGGTTGCCTATAATTGCTTACATCCGCTTTATTTGAACTTTGGTGGATAGTTGTCTCATTGGCAATCATACCACATCTCCTTATTTTTATATTTGGCTTTCAATATGGTTGAAAAATTATGTATCTTGGTATCTGTAGTAATAACAGCCAATAACCTTCCAATGATAAAGGCTTGTTTTTAAAATTTGCAATATTTTTTTTATTAGTGGTAAAATACATGTAAACTGTCATTCAATTTGGAGACAGATGATTAGTACTATGCACTATGTTGCACTAAAACTTCAAAGGACATGAAACAAGTGCAACTAGTTTAAAAGGTTGTCCAGATCATTATCTTTTAATTTTTTATGAATAAAAGATATCTGAGAACACTATAACACATATGTTTAAGTAGTCTCAGGAGATATTTTGTCAATATGAGATCCCCCAATTATAACAAATTAAACCATGGGTTACTGTGGTAGTGTTTTTTTTAATTGAGGCTAAAATGTTACAATTTTGATAATTAATTAAAAACTGCACATGTGACAACATTGAAATTGTGGTTTACATATAATTGGGGTTCCTGTTGCTGAATCTTTAGTTTTCTGTGTACTGTATTGTTGTTAGTTTTTTCATTTTTTTTTGCCATGATGTTGGTTTCTCTATGACTTACGATTATTGATTGTCTTTGATATCTTCTGTCTCTCTTTTTCATAAAATGACAAAATTGTCAAGTTTTGACATTTACTTGTGATTATAAAGAAACTCAAGCTGTAAGATTCATTTAAATATCTTATTAGAGAGGTGTGATTCATTCATTTAGATGGTGTGGTCAATTATCTTCTTGGTCTTTATTTCCAAAATATAAATAAATCAGACTCAAATGGCCAGGTTGCACAGATTGTTTCTTAAATAGAGAAAAATAGTCTGTAATGAACATTAAAAAATATATGGCATTTTTGACTAATTTTCAAGTTTTTGCCTATTATCTCGAAAAGTATAAAAGATTGATAGAAACTATAAACAGAAAAATTACTAGCAATACGAGATCTACTAAAATGCCAGCATGACCAAAATAAAATGCTCCGCTGGGGCGCAGCTTGATACGACCGCAGAGGTTGAACCCTGAACAGTTGGGGCAAGTATGGACACAACATTCAAGCTTGATACAGCACTGAATTTGGATTGTAATTAAATATTTGACACAGCATAGGTTTCTGACACAGAATGAATGTGATCTAAGAACTTAAAAACTTTTTATTTACCTATTCAAACCATATCATTATTATTTGCTTTTGTATATAAATCAGAAATAATCAATTTAAAATGGAAAATTTTAAAGAAAAATAAAAATGAAAAAAAAATCCCCCCACCAAATTTTTTGAACCCCCTTATGATTCATCACCCCCAAACTCAATCCCAGCCTTCCCTTTTTGGTATGGTACCTTGCAGTACAATTTCAGAGAGATCCATACACTTGAACACAAGTTATTGTCTGGAAACTAGAAAAATGCTTGTTTTTTTGCCCCTTTTTGGCCCCAAATTCCTAAAAGTTTAGGGCAATTACCCCCAAACTCAAACCCAGCTTTCCCTTTGTGATATGGAACCTTGTAGTGCAATTTCATAAAGATCCATACACTTACACACAAGTTATTATCCTGAAACTAGAAAAATGCTTGTTTTTTTGCCCCTTTATGGCTCCTAATTCCTAAAATTTTGAGGCAATTACCCCCAAAATCAATCCTAGCCTTCCCTTTGTGGTATGGTACCTTGCAGTACAATTTCAGAGAGATCCATACACTTGAACACAAGTTATTGTCTGGAAACTAGAAAAATGCTTATTTTTGGCCCCTTATTCTTAAACGTTTTGGGCAATTACCCCCAAACTCAATTCCAGCTTTTCCTTTGTGATATGGAACCTTGTAGTACAATTTCATAAAGATCCATACACTTACACACAAGTTATCGCATGAAATTAGAAAAATGCTTGTTTTTTTCCCCTTTTTGGCCCCTAATTCCTAAAATTTGGAGACAATTACCCCCAAAATCAATCCCAGGATTCCCTTTGTGATATGGAACCTTGTGGTACAATGTCAGAGAGATCCATACACTTACACACAAGTTATTGTCATGAAACTAGAAAAATGCTTGTTTTTTGCCCCTTTTTGGCCCCTAATTCCTAAAATTTGGAGGTAATTACCCCCAAAATCAATCCCAGCCTTCCCTTTGTGATATGGAACCTTGTGGTACAATGTCAGAGAGATCCATACACTAACACACAAGATATGTCTGAAAGTTACAAAAATGCTTATTTTTGGCCCCTAATTCCTTAACTGTTGGTACCATAACCCCCAAAATCAATCCCCACCTTCCTTTTGTGGTATTGAACCTTATGGTTAAATTTCATAGAGATCCATTCACTTAAACCAAAGTTAGAGTGGGAAAACCAATGTGTCTTCGGACAAGGACGACGACGCCAACGTCATACCAATATACGAACGCAAAATTTTTTTGCAGTCGTATAAAAACATTGGATGGTATAAAAATAAGTTCACAATTTCAAGTTATGCGTTTAGTTATGCGTAAGTTTTGTTCATTTCTATTCAGTTGTGTTGGTGGAATTGCACATTAGAGATGATTTTCCATTTCAAAAACTCCAAATGGACCATGGGGAAACCTCAGAAATTAAAATAATTGAAAACTTGAAATAGGATATGCACATGTTCTAGTTATTTTTTGTTCGTTTGTTATTGCCAATTTCGGTGGTGTAGATGTTGCTGGTTAGAGGAGATCAAATGGCCAACATTGAAACTGTTATTAAAAATGTTATTAAATGGAAGTGTGGATTAACAAAAGTGTGATGAAAACGGAGACATGACAAGTTGTACAGTAGATAACCATCTCAATGTACAGACTCTGCTACCCTGGTGGTCAATAATAACACATGAAAAAAACTTTAACTTTTATTTATGTACAAATATAAATTGGACGGGATTTTATTTATCTAAATCTCATAATTAATGCTTATAAATACAATGAGTACGACAACAGAATAATGATAACAAGTTATAACAATCTTTAAATAAAATATAACTTTAAAATAAAATTTAGTTAGAATAAAAGATCTTAGTCATATAAGTGAGTCACAGGAGATCACAAAGAACAGGTCAGAGTTTTATAAAAGTATTTTAAGTCATGCCCAATAACTTGCAACAATTCAGTCACAAGATTTTGTCAAATGCAGGCCAGAAGTATATGTATATTAAATAATATCTCTTTTTCATAAAAAAAAAATATATGACTTGTACAATTTATCATACCTTGAGACAAATTGTACCAATTTATTTACTTGAGACAAATTTAACCAACTAAAACATGTGAATTTCACACACTTTTATATTCAAAATTAAAAAAAAATCACCTAAAATTTATAAAATAAAAAAAAAGTAGTAATGTGAAGAGTATAAAATGTTGAGGTATTTTGCAGAAGTGTTGAGTGAAGCAAGTTTTAACAAATAGAAAAACAATGTATATCACTACTTGGTGATGTGATTTGTGAACAAGTTTTGATTCAAACTAACAGCCTACATTTTTCTCATGTTTTCTGTAAATGTGGAAAAAAATGTTCAAAAATGATCTCAATCACCTAGTAAGAGCTTTAAATTTCTTTCTTCATGCAGCTCAGCTCATACGTTCTATTCATTCATTCATTTGTTACATTTATAAATATAACCACTAGAAAAGATTAATAACTTTTAATATAATGAGCAAATATCTTGTTACATAAAGAGGGAATTAAAGAAATAAGGATGTCAGTTAAGACACTGATGTAAAATTGTGAAATATATTTAACATTTTTTCTTGATTCAATGTAAAATAAAAGTGAATGTATGTGTTCATGTGAAAAGCTCTATCAACCTTTCAAAATTTGACATTACTGAGCATACACGTAGTCAGGAAGGTGTGAGTTGTTCTGACGAACCCCCCTCTGAAAGCAAATAAATATACTATTAAAGTCAAGATTCCAATTCGGGTTTGACTATCAAAGTCAGAGCGTCATGACTCCAAATACCTCTCTCATAGAAATCCTGGCTACAGGCCTGCTGAGGGCAATATAATTATATTGTTTTACAAAAACTTCTTAATTTTGATTCCATGATGGTGTACATGCATATATTTTTTTTATTCTATAAAAACATATTCAATGTTTTCATTAAAATGAATGTGGTAAATGAATAACGAATAACTCAAATACATTGCAAAATTCAAACTAACAAAAATTGTCACATTTAATATCAGTACACCACAACATAAGTAGTCAAAGCTGCATAGATTTATGTTAACAATCATTTTCACAAACAACTAAATAGTCATTGTTACAAATATATTCATATTAACTGACCACTAGGAGGAGATATTGACTTGACCAATACAGAAACTGATGTTATAAATGTAACATGAAAAAATTTAATCAATTAACACTTTATAAATTTGGTGCGTCCGAAACAACTTCTATTAGCATTTCACAGACTATTACTCATTTTTTTAGGACTGTAATGTTTTTGTCTTCAATGTTAATTTTGACTTCTGTTGGTCATTTATATCTGAAGAAGCAAAGTAAAAGCAAGTGATGGAAAATTACATCTTTATAATGTGTGCATATAGGAAAGGATGTGTTGTGTGTCTATTACAAGTATCTATCAAATTGATAGTAAATTTGTTTTTCACAGATTGGACCAAATGTTAGGAAATTATTGAAAATGAACAAAATGAGCTTATATATAAAATGTGTGTGAAAGAATGGGTAAAATAAAACCTTAAAAAATCTCTCTATATATATATGATGCTTTTTATAAAAAAATAGAATTTTCTCTTGTGTGCTTCCCACATTATGGTTTTCTCTTATCATTCTTCACAGTCGTCTTACAGTCTATTGTGAATGTTTTTAAAGTATGAGAAGTAAAATGCCTTTTTCATGGTCCAACTGATCTTCATATGCATTCAAGATATGACAGAATTCTTCACACTGTGTATCTCAGGTCTTCAATATCAACTTGAACAATGAAAAAATCTTTATGAAAACTAAATTTACTACAAATAGTATTCTACCAACTGCTCAAATTGGCAAGTAAAATACTTTGTTTATATTCTAATTACACTATTATATATATACTTTTCATTTCATAATATAAGTATAAATTGAATGTACAAATAGGTTGCATAGAAAAATATGTTCATTCAGTAATCAAAATAAATAATTAAATTTTTACAATAAATATTGTCTTAAGTAGCACTCCTTAGACTAAATATCCAATCTCTTAAAAATATATCAATAGCCTGATGATCTTGTTTGTTCATTACATTAACATTTCATTTGATGAGAATGAACAAAATTCATAATCAGAAGTACAAATGTATTATGATTACTAGATTTGATGATCTGGTTGTCATTTTTCTGATTTTGATTTGACATAAGTTTGTTTTTATCAATTCAGACAATGCAATCCTGTTTTATTTAAGTTCTCACAAATGGCAAGGCTGACTACAATAGTTGTGATCAGAAATGTCTAAGTCTGATTTCATTGTTTTGATCCAGTTCCAGGCGGACATTTTCCTGTACAGAAGGTCGTCGTTGTGGTGTTGACGTTGACAACAAAGCCTCTGTTAACCTTCCTCCATCATGTCTATATCCCTCACCAAAACTTTGTCTAGTTTAAGGTCAAGGTCAAAACAAAAGAATAACGTGTTTGCTACAGACTTTCATATTGCAGGTCTTAATCTTGTTACATTCACTAAATGTAATCTTCAGAATTAAATTTTTAGAATATGTAATTTTTAATGACCTTTCAAATCTATATGATAATCTGTAGCAAAAAAACAAAAAAATGTGAAAAAGCAGGAATATGTGAAACTTACCATGCTTACCTTTCTTGGGATTATTTTCCCCTCTTGGCAGCTTCCATCGATTTATTTTTAATGTTGAACTCAGCAACTATTTACCTTCCTCATTTAAAGTAACCATACCTGCCAACTTTTCAAAATCTCCATTGGGGATTTTAAGGGCAAGATGACCTAATGCTCCTCTTATATTGTCATAAGTGCTTTTAATCCACTTCTATATTGTTTGGATAAGTATGTATGTGCTTAAATACCCTTTTTACTCATTTGAATGCCTGTTTTGAGGTGTATAATGAAGGTTTTATAAAATTCAGGTCAACAATTCTCATGGGAGATATCGGGAAAGTTGTCTGAGTTATGTCAAAATGAAATAGCCCTGAATTTTACTTTCTTAATCATATAAAAACAGGATGTATGAATTTCAAATGCATAAATTACGCCAAAATGTAAGCCCTTCATTTTTACTTTCCATGCTCCCTAAGTTTTGTAATTCCTAAAAAGTAACTTATATGCAATGAAGAGTCCTAACGATAGGCACAGTTAACATAGCACAACTAGACTATAGTTTTAATTAGTATTAAAATAAAGATGTATTTTAAGAAAGCATCAATTAAGATCACTTCCAGGAAGAAATTTTGTTTTTCTTTTTATCCTTTAAATAATATTTACAAATATCAATATAGTTACATCTGATAACTGCTTTTAACATGAAAGGTTTTATAACCTGGCTAACCTGAAAGGGGTAGGAAAAGTTATTGGGAATGACATTATATGTAATACTATCTTATCTCTATGAAGAAAGAAAGAATGAAACATGCAAGATGAAAGACAAAGCTACAATGCTATCAATGTAGGAACCAAGTTGTATTTGAATGAAAACTTTGAATATATGACATTTTTCTGGGTTTTTTTTATCTTTGCCGTTTTTCTGGATAAAATTTGTTGATACTAAAAGTATGCTTCTTCTTGCAATAATATTCTACATTGATAGCATTAGTGTTAGTACAAGAAAATAATATTACTGGTTAACAGTCTAAAGATAAAGTCATAAATTAGTAAACTAGCTGTAACTGTCTATATCTCGAGATCACAAACACTGAACTAGCTGTCTTTAAATGATTCCATTTCAATTTCAATGAAAGTCCACTAAATTTTACTGCGGGAATTAAATTTTCCAACCTTTTTTATGATGAAAAGTGCTGTTTTTTTTATTTTCTTTATTTTAGCAAGGAGTGCTGTAACATGAGACTTCATGAGCTAGTCACTAAATTAAGGCTATAATGACATTACAAGTAAATGTCACAAACACACAAGATCTGTACAAAACAATGAAATCAGCTTCCACAATTATATACTTGCTGCCACACCAATCACACATCAAGCATGTTGATAATGCCACACCAATCACAAATCAAACATGTTGATATAGCCACACCAATCACAAATCAAGCATGTTGATACCAACTCCAATTAGAAGTGGTAGAATTCTGTATAAAAAACACTTACACTGCTTTACAGTTAATAAATCAATATCTGATTCCAGTTAAATTCTAAGCATTTTGAATACCTCTTTTAAAAAACATATGTCAAAAGGTCATCTTAATTGTTATCAAAGACCTAAGTATGAGCTCTGTAGTACTATTCCTTAAAACGATCTTGAAAAAGTTATCATCAATACTAACTTTTCCTTGAAATATATCAGTTTATCACAAATAATAGTGTGATCATTAAATTTGTATTTGATTTCCTTGAAATTTTACACTTTAATACAAATAACAGTGTAAGATCATTAACTTTTTTTTTTATTTCGTTGAAATATTAGTTTATTACCAGTAATAGTAAGATTGTCAACTCTGTATTTGATGTTATGTTATCTCAAGACAAAACTTTGATGCATTTTTTTTTTAAATAAGTAAAGAAATAGTACGACAATGTATTCAGTACAAAATAAGTTATCTAAGCACCATTCACCACTTGATTGTTTAGTAGCTCAACACCAAGCAACAAAGATGTAGCACTAATACATTTTTTTAATCTCTAAAAAATCTACATTTAGTAATGATTTCTATGTTAAAATTTTACTGTCTGTAAAAATGAATTGTCTTCAACAAAAAATATAGCCAGTCAGCTTAACCTTCAGAAATGAACATATTCATTATAATGGTACACTTTTTTTTCATTTTTGTTTCTGAAAAATATGAATTTTAATAATATTTGTTGAAGTATGCTTCACACTACCAATACCATTTTTACAGACAGCAGTACAAAACTAAAGCACCATAATAATTTTACAAATGTAAAACAAAATGTGGACGGATCTGTAATCTATGATGAGATAAACTATGTTATATAAACAGGTAAAATGCTCTTTAAATGATAACACACAGGGACAATACTCAAATTAATTAAAAACGTTGTCAACTGTTCAAAATGATACAGTATGACTTGTTCTCAATTAAAAAGTTACTTAGAATATGTACTGAAAATATAGATTATTTCAGATCTTACCCAAAAGATAAATTAAAAACGTAATGGATAAAAAGAGACAATTCCTTTCGGACGGAGTAGTTTTTAATAACAGAACCGGTTTTGTTCTGTACCAGAATTTGGACGGAGTAAACAGAACAGCTTTTGTTCTGTACTAGAATTTGGACAAAACAAGTTCTCATCTGTCAGACAAATAAGAATGGACGGATTTACAGTAAAATGGTCTGCTATGAAGGATACACAGAGCCAGTTTCTGACCCAGGTCCTCTAATTGAACCACCAAAACTAATGTCTTGTCCAAATTTTTTCAACCACTGTCTTTGTTCAGCCAGTCTATCTTGTGTTGAGCTATTATTCGATGGGAAATGATCGTGTAAACTTAGTCTAAATTGTCGTAACTGCTCCCTGTAAATTTAAAAGTATTTTAATGTAATTTTTGCTAAGTAAGTAATTGACTACAGATAATGCAGATATGTCAAAATTAAGATAACTTGAATCATACTTTGTACCCAACAGAGAATTATTTACTTTACAATATCTGTTACTGATCTCAAATTTCTAAATTTCAAGTCAATTGTTTGTTAACTTTGACTTGACAAAACATGAATCAAAATGTCTTTCACGAAATGGTTTAAGTTTGTCTTAAATTATCAATTAGCTTGATGTTTCCTAACAAATTCATATTCTTTAACCTGGCATCAAACATTGTTCTTGTTAAAACATAAAGCTGCAAATGAGGACACCAGATTGGATTAGATTCTATTTATATATTTTTGATGTCCCTAAAGTATCTTACAATGTCTTTATGACAACTTCAGCTCAGTGTTATGTATAATATAATATCATGTAGTCATGTTTATATGATAGTGATCAGTTAAATCAAAGAGAGTGTGCTTGTTTTATAGAATAATGTTACGATTTGCATACAGATAACTTGTACAAAAATTCTTTACAAGTTATAACTTGTACATAGTTACATCTGGTACACAACATATAAAACAAATAGGATAGACAATATTAAGCAGATAAATGATACTGTGTTTTATTATATGTACTTAGATTGATTGATTGGTGTTTAACACCACTATCAAAACTATTGTGCTATTTCGCGGCAGTCAGTTTTTATTGGAGGAGGAAGCCGGAGTGCCCGGAGAGAATCACAACCTTCAGTAGGAAAACTGACAATCCAAGATTGGAGTCAAGTGCACCTGCCACATGCAGGATTTGAACTCACAACCTCAGTGTTGACAGGGTAGTGATACAGTAGTGCGACTACTTAGACCACTCGGCCACCCAGGCCCCAAATATACTAAGAAGTACTGGACTTAATTTTCAGGCTACCATCAAAAACTGAAACTTATTAAAGTAAGTTGAAGTGAAACAATGATGAGAAAGATTAAGTCATCAGACATGTATTCAAGAAACTACTATCTGAACGAAGAGTTTAAATCACACCTAAAAGAATATGAAGAGGTCTATTTTGTCACCTTTTTAAAATAAGGAGATGCAATATGATTGCCAATGAGACAGAGTAATGAGACAAGTATACACCTAAGGCCAAATGATGTAGATGTTAGCAAATATAGGTCACTGTATGGGCTTAAACAATGAGCAAAACCCATACAGCATAGCATGCTATATAAGGCCCCAACATGAAAAAATGCAACACAATTTAATTGAGAAAATCAATGGCATGATTTATGAAGAAAGCTTTAATGAAATAAATTCCTACGGTAATTACCTGACTGTTACATGTCCTGTAGTGTTATGTGCAGGTAATGTTGTGGGAATACTGGTTATTGGTGGTCGTCGATCTAAATATATAAATCATCAAAACATTGCTTATGTAATACAAAATAATTATACTAACAGTCATTATTACATTATTGCATCAGAATGCGAACTGATAAAGTATTTGTTTTTCTCAAAATATGTGTAAAATATATTATCTCTTTCAACAAAATTGAGCACAAATAGTGGCTAAATTTAAAGTAAACTAAATGCTTTGACCTAAACCCCCCCCCCCAAAAAAAAAATTTAACTAAATGTCAATCAATTAATTAAAATACTTGACATTCTATCTAATTACACATTCAGAAATAAAAAAAAAAAAATAATAGAATTATGAAAGAAATAACATGAAATTTGTCCTTACCTCCAAAATATTTTCTCCATTTTCTCTCTAATGACTGCTCAGCAGATAACACAAGACTAGAATAGTCTATTTTATGATTAGGGTCCCTTCTATAATAAAGTAAAAAAAATAAAGTTATGATTATTACAACAAAAACACAGAGATATGTCTCGCCTTTTTGTAATTTTGATAATGCAAATGTTGAAATTAAAATAGCAATTCTTTAACATGTAAGTTATGCAAATATTCAAAGTCGATGAACCATGACTGAAGGTACATGGCTAAACAATCTCCATGGAATGAGATGTGCCAATGCTAATACAACTGCATACCAAATACCATTGACTTATTATAAGTCGTTCCCTTTAAACAAACCTAAACACAAACATTAACTTGTAAACTATGTAAAACTTTCAAAGTCAATGAACCATGATCAGGGGTTGGGCTATATAATCTCCATGGAAACGATACTTGCAAATGCCAATACATTTGCATACCAAATATCATTGACTTAACATTAGCAGTTCATCTTAAACTGATCTAATCAGAAACTAATACATGTAAACTAAGCAAAAGTTTCAAAGTCAATAGACCAGGACTGAGGGGGCAGGGCCAAATATTCTCCATGGAAATGAGATATGCTAATGCTTATACAACTGAACACCAATTAACATTGGCCTACCACTAATGGTTCCCCTTGAACTTACCTAATCACAAACTAATACATGTTAACTTAGCAAAATTTTCAAAGTCTATAAACCATGACTAAGGGGGCGGAGCCAAATAATCTCCATGGAAATGAGATATGCCAATGCTTATACAACTGCATACCAAATATCATTGACCTACCACTAGTGGTTCCCCATAAATTGACCTAATCACAACTAATACATGTAAACTATGAAAAATTTCAAAGTCAATAGACCTTGACTGAGGGGGCGGGGCCAAATAATCTCCATGGTAATGAGATGTGCCAATGCTAATACAACTGCATACCAAATATCATTGACCTACCACTAGTGGTTCACCATGAACTAGACCTAATCACAAACTAATACATTGTTGACGCCGGTGCCGCCGGAAACAGCATACCTATGTCTCGCTTTTTGACTCCGTCAAGGTGAGACAAAAAGTACAGATATTATAAGCATCATTTTAGCAACCTAGTGGAATTGTGAAGGATTGTAAAGATGCTTTTGAACATTGATGACTTGATTGTGACTCTTCTTCAGCGGATTAATAAAAATTTCTGACCAGTTAACCAGTTTGATTTGACAAAATAAATTGCAGTCAGGTTGGAATTTTAAATGAAATGCAAATGATGGAGAGGAACACTTACAATCAAGTCAATGTAAAATGATACCCGACTGATTTTTTTGGATTAAATAAAAAATGACCAATCTCCATATTACTGAAATTCCAAATTTGAATTTTTATCTCTCTATTCTAATGTCCAAATTTTAAGTTATGACAGAAATATGACTGATTCTGGACCCTTGATACTATTTATCAATATTCTTTTTACCATGGTGTGTAGTCATTCATCTGAAATAAACTGGTCATGACTCTTTAATATTCATAAAGGACTTTAATCCTATATAAAATTGAGAATGGAAACGGTGTCAAAGAGACAACAACCTGACCAAAAGCAGAAAACAGCCCAAGGCCACCAATGGGTCTTCAACATGCGGGATTCACAGCGGGAAAATCCTGCAACCAGAGGCAGGCTTCAGCTGGCATCTAAACAATAATGTATACTAGTCAAGTCACTATATGCATTCTAGAATTTGTTTCGATTTCCAATTATTTTGTTAACACATTGAGGAAGTGAAATACAGATATACCATCAGTAGATTTTCATATGGTATGGTGTGTTGGATACTTACAGATATGGGTTAAGTTCTGTTGATGGAGGTGGCTCTGTCCAAGCTGTGGAAGGAGGCTTTGGCATGTAAATAGGTATATATGAACTGCCTTTGTTTTCTACTCCTGGAAATTAAAATGACAAATCATAAATAATAGTAACAAAACATGGTTATTAAAACATGTGTTCAATAATAGACCACATGATTGTCAAAAGCTGACAAGGATGTAAGAACAAAAGATGTCATGACTTTCTTCTGTTTTATGTGGCAAACCAGCCGATTAATTTTTGATAATCAACATGTGGTTCTGTTGATTTATGTTCTTTGTGGTAAAATATTTAATAATGACATTAACTTTTCATTCCTGTCCTCTGATTTTGCTATTGAGAAAAAGGGTTAACATGGCTAATAAAATCATGCTGAATGAACACAACTATTTTGAGGATCACTGAAAAAGGAGTTAAATTTTGCCTACATATCAATAGAGAATCAGATGCCTTCACTGTATCTCATGCAATGTGAAACTTCTCTACTGTTACATTTGACCATTTGAAAGTCTAAATGTCTGGAGTAGAGAAATAGCATATATCATTCTATGCAGTGGTACAATCTGTATTTTTATGCCCCGCCTACCCTAGGCAACCAGGGCATTAAGTACTACCCTTGATCGTCCTTTTTGTCCTTCCATCTTTCCTCTATCCCATTTTCGTTTCCGCACTCTAACTTAATTTTGCCTCATCCAAATTTTATAAAACTCATACACAATGCTTAGAACCAAAACTTGCAGACAGAGTTGGAATTTGAGCAGTGAGTCACTGAACTAATAAATCTGTACATATTTTCAACAGTTCATATTCAGAAACATAATACATAATGGTTCTTTATCCCTTTCCCTAATGTCTGTTCATTGTTATTTCCATAGATTTTATAAATCTGTATTTTTGATTCAAACAAATGATAATTTAAATCTTTATTTGGTTTTCTTCACAACACACCTATACAACCATGACAACTTTTCGGTGAAAAGCTCATTAAAGCTTATGTTTAGTTTGTTTGTCAATATGCCAAATTAAAATAAAGTTTTATTTACTTACTAACTTAACTGGTTAACAGAGAAACAGACTTATCTGCTTTGGTTTATTAAAGGAGTGGGTCATATTTGGCCCCGATTATTAAGTTTAATGTTTCAAGATAATAAATGTTTTAAAGTGATAAAAAGACATGTGAGAAAGTTGAATAGAACTTTTTTTTGTCAAAGTTAAGTTTTAAAGCGTTGATTTTTACATCCCAAATAGGTCAAAAATAGAGATTTTTGCAAAATTTGACCAAATCGTCCAGATTTCAAACACATTAAGGCCTAGGAAACATAGAGCGCAGGCATCGACAAACTAAATATTCAAGTCAGATATGTAAAATGTGATAACATTTTGTTAAAAAAGCTTTTTTGTCGACGCATGCACTTTATGTTTCCTGTGCAAAAAATCATTGGAAATTTACCATTTTTTATTGAATTTTCGTTGAAAATCAAAATGAGTGCTATTTGTGACGTCATGAATAGAACGCAAGTACGTAAATTTTCAACAAAAACACATATTTTCTATATAGTCATTGTATTAGCTATGATTCATTGTGATATTGGTCAATAAATCCTAATTTGAAATTGTAGCTAGAAATAGGGCAGTTTTAGGGTGTTGTCGAACCTACTCCTTTGTGGTGGAGTTCATGCTGGCCAATCTGTTTTATGTGTTATGTTTTGTGACAGAATTGTCAGAAAGTGCTGTTTATCAATTAATCTTTTTTATTTTAACAATGGTGTTGTCTATTTTTCTTCAACTTATTCATTTTGATTGACCCTTTGTTACCCTCTCACCCTTTTTATTCAAACACAAATATTCTTACCTTGTGTAACAGCAGGAGTGTTTGGCACATTATTATAACCGACTACAGATATAATTCTGGCAAGTTCTGAGTTGACTTTCTGTAGAGACTGAGCAATGGGATTTGTACTGCTTGCTGCTTGCAAAGTTGACATGGTCTCTGTGGGCTGGTTGTTCTGTCTACTTAATGCTGTAAACAATACGATAAATATGGATTAATCAATAGATATAAAATAAGGAGACCTGGTATGATTGCCAATGAGAAAACTATCCACCACAGACCAAATGACATAGATGTTAGCAACAATAGGTCGCCGTCCTGCCTGTATTTTGTATCAGTAAATGTCCTTTATATACAATACAGATTGTTTGAATTTGCAAGCTGTTTATTTCAAGAAACATGGCTAACTGCAATATAAATAAACCTTTCAAAATGTTCATACATAAACACCTATTTACAGTTTTTCCCCTGATATCAGTACTTAAATAAACAAGAAATTTATAAACCTTTATTTCCTTTTCAATTCATTCATTACTCTGTATTCTGTTTTATGTAACTTAGCTTAATGCAAATTTGCATCTATCTTTTTTAAAATCACAAATATAAATTTTAAAACATTATTAAGGTCACCACAAATAATAGTCTTCTCTGACATTGTCAATCAAATATGAGCATTATCATGGTAATCAAATTTCTGTCCTTTATATTTATAGTGATTATCTTTGACCTTGACATAGTGGAAACCTACCTTTTATAACATTATCAAGGTCGTTGTCATTACTACTGATTCCACTACTTTCTTCATCACTGAGGTCAGCAGACGGCAACATAGGAGACTGGTATTTATATTCAAAGGGAGAATACTCTATTTCACTATCACTGGCAGACTGAAATATGAAATACAAAAAAATTGAAATAGCAATCCTTTTTAGGCAATGGCAAGAGAAAATAACCAAAAGAACACATGTTTATAGAATAAACAATTATCAAGAGGGTAACCATATGACCATCAAGCAAGCACACTACCACAAACTGCAAAGTCGAGATTCATGAAATTCATTGTGTGATAAAAAAAACCTGCAGAAGAATTTGTTGATCATAACAATAATAGCTTCCATTTTATATGTAAAGATACAGATAACACTTAGATTGGTTGCTGTAAAAAAGATCCTTTATCAAGAATAAATACAACAATAACTTACATCAGTATAAAACCTATTCCGTAAGTGTCTTAGCTTCCGTTCCTTTTCTCTGACAAGTTTTGATCCAGTCTTCATGTGATTGGCTAAATCATCCAATTCTGCTGTTTCTTTGTCTAATGACTGCTGGACAGTTTGTAGTACACTTGCTGACATGGCCTATAAATAAAATAAGTTTTTAAAGTTTAAAATATTTCTTTATTCAGTGATTAATATTTATATTACAAAATGAAGACAGGTTCTACAAGTAATATTGTAGTTACAAAAAAACAAATGAAAACATTTACCATTTTAAGCAGAGCTAAGAACCTTTTAATCAGCTCTTGAAAGGATCAACGAAATTTTATCTCACTGACTGTAATTATAATTTGATTGTTTAAATATAATTATTTTTACAACCCAAAACCAATACCTTGTGTTTACATTCAAATTTACAGGAAAGACAGATAACTGAAAAAAAAAAAATCACTTTATTTCAAAATGAAATAATCAGTTTTTACAATATTAAAAAAAAAACCAGACAAACTTACCCCTTGTCCCTGTTTAATCATGTCCTTCATTAATTCTTGTCGCGCTGCTGTTAGTCCAGCCTGACGTCGTTTTAAGGAATGTCGTTGTTTACGTAGGAATTCTTTTGCCATTGAGATTGAATTGATTTCTTTTGCAAACTGTTGTCTAACACCACTGAAAGTTATTATGAATTTCAACATGAATAGTTCTAAACTAAATTAAAGGACAATACAGTTGTAAACAAGTGAAACTGCGAGCTACTGCTCACTGATGATACCCCAGCCCAAATACTTGACGGTAAACAGGAAGTTGTTGAGTGATGAATCTGAAAAGGCATCACACGGTATAGCTGACTTACATAAACCCTGAAACCAAATTTCAGAATTCCTTATGATGTAGTTCCTGAGAAAAATGCGACTAAAAATATTCATGGGACGGACGGACGGACGGACAGACGGAGGTAAAACAGTATAGCGGGGGTATAATAAATATTCCTTATGTCTTTCAAAAGGTAAACATCAGCAGATTCTGGAGATGATTTTTTTCATTGAGATGAGTAAATTTCAATAATCATGCTAAAAGTACTTTCTACAAAATAGTTAGGTTTGAAAAATCTTTAGTGGAATGAAAAATATTTTTGATGAAAAGATTTAGGGTAAATGTTGGGTTTTATTTCGAGCAAAATTCAAATAAAACATAAATAAATGTGAAAAAATCACATAAATGTCTTTTCAGGCAAAATCCAATTGTAAAGTTCAAGTCAAAGTAAAACATACAAAATCTTGAAAAAATGAACAATGGTATACATTTTGGTGACTATTTTCACTCTATATCACTAATCATATATTTAGGATGGAGTTGTTTAATATCTTGCTTCTTCATTTCACTTGTTTTACCAATTCAATTATTACAATTCATTTCACTATCATTATAACTTATTAAAACTGCTTTCCATATTTACCATGTAATGTAACCTTACCTAGATTTAAATGCAGGAACATCATCAAACTGGCTTTCATCACTAAGTAAATCCTGCCAGGCATAGTTATTATAACCTAATGATGGGTCCTACAAAATAAATTCCTACTTCAAACCATATCATTACGTTTAATTATCAAAATCACAAAACTAAACAGACTATTAGTCACACATAAATTCTTATTTTGTTTTGCTAGACAATAAATTGATTATTAATACATGGCTATTGGTGAACACTGTCTCTCTGCACTTGCATGCTTAATAAAAGTGCTTGTGAGCACTGAAAGGTAAAGATTGCACTCATTTTGAAGTGGAAACTAAAAATTGAGCAAAGTATAATTGTAGTTGTTTCAACTCCAATTATGTATAAAGGAAGATAACTCCAATTCTCAATATTACTTTTACAATGACATCATTGATATTTTTTGAACAGATATTATATTCGTTCACTATGCACAATTTATCTAATTTTCTTGACAAGTATGGTTATACACATACACATCATTTTGTAACTTGATTATCTAAGTATATATTTCATTGATAAATTTCTTGAAATGCTCATAGGTAAGATGTATAGAATGCTGTGCTCAATGCACTATGTTTTGTGTATATCAAAAGTAGTGATAAAAGCTGGAAAATTGATAGCTATCAAGCCAGACACTTAAGAATTTTGATTGCATGAAAACAATCTTTACACCCAAAATACACAACATATCATATCTTTTCCTGTAGTAATGCAATGGCATAATTCTGGTAGTCATTATTAAAATTCATACATAACTTTTCCAAAACATGGATCAATTTAGATATGAATAAAGGGAGACAAGGGGTATACATCAATGAGACAGTAACCCAACACAAAAAAAAACCCAGTTTGTAATATGATAAGGTCCATTGTCTATATTTGAAGATATCTGGTTGTCATTTTTTGTTTTATGATGATTTTGAAGTTCTTGATTGTCTCATTCTCATTGGCATATACCAAACATCTACTTGTATCCATAAAATGAATGCTGTATGAAAACACTAATGAATGATATGAATGAAAAAAGAACAAATATCATATATATTGATATTCTTATGCAATTTTGTTTTCAATGTCAGGTTTTTTTGTTACATCATTGAAAACTTAGAACTTACATCAAAATCTTCACTTCTGTCTTGACCTCTGCGCCTCCTTCCAATATCTAACAAAACATACATAAAGAAGTATTAATTGAAAATGGAATGTTAATACGAACTGCTAGAATAGTTAAAATTATAAGATTATAAGACAGTTATTGTCATATTTTACAAAACTTATGCTCATGAATACCAACTATCATTGATTTCCTGGTTCAGCTAAACTATGAATCCTTATATTCCATGAAAGATATATTTTGCATTGATTTGTTAGTGGAAGGCATGACATTTCATTTTCTAGAACAAACAACACCCTATTTTTCTCACAGCATGAATTTTGATTTTCCACAGATAAAATTACTTTCATAATAGCTATTTTTTTAAACAAATTGTTAACCATAACTCTAAAACTATACGGTAATATTTATCTTAACCTGCATACTATGGGCATGAATAACAATGAGTAAAAGCTTTAGAATAGTTTTTAAAGGCACAACTGGACATGGAAATTCAATACGGGAGGAATGTTTTGGAGGGCATCAGGTTGAATACCAAGTTAAACTTCTGGTCAAATGATTTGACCTAAACACCAAAAAAGGCACCAATTTAAATTTCATTTCAATAAATAAACAACCCTCACCTTCTTCTTCACTAAAATCAGTGTCATCAAATCGTTGTTTTCTTCGTCTCTTGTCTGATTTGCTGGCACGTAATCGTTCATCCATGAAAGACTTCTCTTCCTCTGCAGCATCAATGATTTTTTGATTTAGTGATGTAAAATCTTTACTTTTCCTGTCTAACTTGTTCTGCATTTCACTGAAAATTAACACAATCAGTTAACACTAAAATTTAGAAAATGAGAATGCATTTGCAAAAGTTCACATTTTTCCAAAGATTTGGATATAATCTGGATGATTGATGAAAAGTGAAAAGTTTTCTAATATATATGAATCAATGATTAAAAAATGTTGTGTTTGACACAATGGAACCTTTATGATCTTAGGATATGTCATTAATTGCCGTCTATCAAGCACAAAACACCAGCATGCAGATGTAACTATAAACTAACATATCTAATGAGTCATGCATTTTTGTCTTTACAGAGTTCTAATGAATCATTTCTACAGAATCTCTAGTATTTTAGTCATCTTTATGGCACCCTCAGTGGAGTTGGGGTGACATATTGTTATTCTACATTTCTTTTTTTTTTCTTATTATTTTCTTCAACTTTTTTTGTCCACCTTATATCTTGGAATTGTGTGGACCAATTCTAATAAAACTATACAATAATGTTAACCATCATGTGCAGATGTTCCATCAGGGTATGGCATTTTCAAGATGGCTACCATTGCCATGGAAACTGCTAAAAAGTGAAAAAAAATCTAAATTCAAAATCTTTTAATGTAAGACTTAACTAGATGAAACTTTATGGAAATGTTACCTGTTATGTCTAGATGTGCAGACAGTATTTAGATATTTCAAAATGGCTGCCCTTCAAGCAATTGCCATGGAAATGGGGAAAATGTTTAAAAATGACCCTATGGAAAAACACATTAAACCAGAATTTTCTTAAAGAATATATGATCAAACTCAAAGAAATTTTTTTAACATGTAACATGTTATTGGTCAATGTGATATCTGTTGTTGGACTTTAGAAATGTCGACCATTACCATGGAAACAACAAAAATCTCCAAAAATTTAAAATACACAAAACTTTCTGAAACTTTACAGAAATGTTAAATGGCATGTGAAGAGTTGATATTTGACTTTGAAATTTTCAAAATGGCTGCCGTTACCATGGAAACAGCAAAAATTTGAAAGATGCTTCAAAACTTCAGCAGATTTACAGAAATATGCGTCGTCATACATTTCTGTCCACTGACTGTTTATAATTATGAAAATGGTTGCAGTTTAGAGGCAATTGGTGGTCAAGGGTGCCATCCACTATTGCTTTCAATGGCAAATCTAGTTTTTGTTGCCTTTCATCCTTATGCTTTCTTTCTTTCATCATGGAGTATAAATTTCATCTTCTATTAATCTGAAGTCTCTTGATCCTCAAAGACTATTTATTATTTTCTTTTATAGCACAGATGACCAGACTGATCTTTTTACTTAAGCTTAGTAGAAAGTTGAGTTATTATAAAGAAAATTACAGAAAATAAGCACTGGTATAAAAATATTAACAGGCAAGCATTTTGGTTGTATAAATGTATATAAGCAGGTCTGGTGCCAGAAATGCATTTAATTTTGATACAAGCTTCCGAAGAAAAGCAATGGCTTCTAAATTATTTTATTTAGTGAAATTTTTAAAAATATAAAACTGATAAACTGTTGACCTCAATACCAATCATGCATTTTTTAAATTTCATGAAGTCAACCCTAACATGAGAAAAGACAAAAGTTTGAATTTTTATAAGTTGAATACATTTTATGGATGTGACAATGTTAACTTTTTAATAATTTTTTCTATAAAATCTACTACACGTGCATTATCTATCATTATATACATATATGGCTGTAGAATTTTTATATATGCTTATTATTATACTGAAAAAGTAAACATCTCAAAAATATTCTATAACATGAACCAGACAAAACCTACAAGTAGTCACTACTATTTAAATTTTATGAACAGGTATATAAAAGAAATATAAGCTGTTAAAATCAAAACTGATATAGCGAAAACTAAGGCACATGCTTGAACCAGCTGTAACTCATATTTTTTGTAAGCTCTCGACAAAACTTAAATTGACAAGAAAATTGGATAACACGAGTGTGATTTATTTACTAATATTTCTACAGCCATATTTATGAAATATAGAATGCAAGCTTGAATTCTTATAGTGATAGGAAATTATGTTAATGGAAACATGATACATGATGCATTATAAACATAGACAACAGGTAGACCCTCTATACCAAGGGCTTGCTATATACTTACTATCTATCTATACTGTAAAATGTAAACAATACACTAAAGTTAAAAAGATTACAAAAAGGTTTGGAAATACAGTAAAACCTGGTTACATTGTCCTTATTCAGTCTTCAGCTCTGCAACACCAGGTTTAACTGTAAATAAGGTTCTACAACTCATACTAATGACAATAAGGAAGAATGCTGCTAAATTAACTTCTAAAAGCTAAGAAATATCATAACAATTATATATAAACAATTCAATGTATTTTCTTTTCTATATAAGAAATTTACTACTTAAAAGATCTTTCTACGATGAGAGAAATTTGCTACATAAAATATCTATGATATGAGAAATTTTCTAATTGAAGATCTAACTACATTTAAAAAAGCCATAGCAACTATATTATTGTAGGTTTTCATAGTTATCTCTATTTATGAGAGGAATTCATTATTTTTAATGAATTAAGTAAATAAAATGCTAAATATACAACTGCTTACTTAATTTTCCTGTTCATTTGTTCTTTGTTGAATTTCAACTTAGTAATATCTCCTTCCAGTTGTCGTTTTTCTGTCTTTAATGCATCCACAGCATCTTGTAAAGATCTTATTTCTTCCCTCAGTTGTCTCCTTTCTTCTCTCATCCTTTCTAATTCTTTCTCTCCAAGGTTTGATGCTTTTCCTGAAAAGACAGCCTGTAAAAAATATCACAGCACAAATATGAGAAAATCAACCATATATATATATATATATATAAAAACTTTGGTATTTGCAGAGTCAAAATGCATTGTCTGATAAACAATTGTATAAAACCTTGAATGTGGCGTTTATTATGTGTGTCCCTAGAACAAAATTTTTCTAACACAATTTTCTGAGTATAATATCTAGATGTTGGAAAGCTTTTCATCACCTTCAATAATATACATGACACCTTTGAAACTCAATCGTTTATAGCAGAATTCTGTGTGCAGTTGAATATGGTTCTTACTGTCTTCATTTGATGAGAGTTACGTTTAAATAGAAAAAGAATCTCAAGAAATATATAATTTTGTAATTTAGAAAGTATCCTTTACTAGTTACCTCTTGATCTTTATCAAATCCGTCACTTTCATCTCTGAATTTCTTCTTTCTTTCAGCAAGTTTCTGTTCTTGACCCTCTAAGTTTTTCATTAATTTATTTAAATCTGTCTTCTTTCTTTCATATTCAGTTAATTTTTCTTGGTAATCTTCGTCCTGTAACAGAGAAATACATGTGAAGAAGAAAGAGAACTGTACATCTTGACAGTTTGATTTTGGTTTTGTTTTTAAGGCATAAGCTTATCTGAGTAAATTTATGAACTTTATCTGAGTAATTTTATGAACTGCCTTTTTATCCAAGGTATGTACAAAAGATTAAATACACAAAAAATAAATAAATGTTATATAAGTATGAATAACATTATTTGACACTCACTTCAATCATAGGATAAAAATAAAGTAATACAAAAATAAGGAGATTTGTTATGATTGACAATAAGACAACTATCCATCAGATTTCTTTTCTTTCGATTTGAGACCCAAATAATACCAATGCAAATATAAGGTAAAAGTACGAGTAAGCCTTTTCCTGCCATTTAAACAAGATTAAATGTCTCGAAAAGAAGCTCCATAACCTCTCAATATTTTTAGCTTATTTTGTTCACCTAAGTACATCCTTAAGCAACTATAGGTCAATAAGCCTATTTCAAATAAATCTGTTTTGTATTTTGAAGGGTAATTTGATCTACATATATTTTGCAGTAGCTTTTTACGTAAATCTCTTTGTTCTACAAAATTCATTCAGCTGCCCTTTGACCTTTACTGACTAACCTCATCCTCTAACTGTTCTTTTACTGCATCTTTCTTCCTTTCATATTCTCTCTGTACTTCTTCTGTGTCTTTATCGTACTGTTTCTGAAGCCTTCTTGTTTCCACTTTTAACTTATCCCCTAATAAAGCTTGTTCTTTCTTTTCCTGTCAATCAAAATTCAAACTGAATCTATAAACTTATCTATAACTATAAACCATAGTTTTGTACATAAAATATAAACAGAATGCATGATTTTGGGGCCACATTGTTCCTTAAATCATATAGATTTCAAAATTTCTTCATTTAGCAGAATTGAATGTTGAATTAATTGCCTTAAAAGTTGTGCTTCTGTATTAGTAAAGCACAATTCTAATCAAACAAAATCTACTGATCAAGAATATATAACGCTTAACCCACAATAAATGTTTGCATCGGTTTTGTCAACAAAAAGGAATATTTTGGAAAATGCAGTCTGAATCCAGGTCATTTTTATTCATTTCAGCCTAAAATTATTGTAATCTGTTGATAACTATTTGATCTTAGCTTTTCAATTTTTATGAATAAATCCATACTGATATCAATAACCTACCTTTCTATTATTATCATCTTTCATTTTCTTTATTTCATTTTCATGGTCTTCTTTCAACCTTTGTATCTCCTTTTCTTGTCTATCTTTTATTTCCTTTCTTCTTTCATCTAAAACTTCACTTAACTGTTAAACAACAAGTAATTCTTTAAATTCCAGAACGACCAAACTGTATTTATTGATTGATTGACTGCTTAACATCCAGTGGCAAATATTACATGCATATTCAGGATGATAAGATGTTAGTGAAACATGAATATACCCTGCTTTGTACTAAACCAACATACTTAGTTGGATTATTAACATGCTAGCTCACAAGGTAAAAGTTTGCAGTAATATCACCTACTCAGACTCATTATTCTGACTCTGAGACTACCTTTATTTGCTCTTACTCTCAAATGCAACAAAAATACAAATTTTAAAGTCTTTGGTTTGACCCAGCTGGGTATTCTTCCCAGGACCTCTCACACGTAAGGTTTCACACAATACCAACAGACCACCAAACTGTATTTGTGTAGATATGCTGTTGATTTTAAAACTGGTGTGTAAAATAACATCTTTAATCATATAATAGTAGAGGAAGAAAATATAGGAAGGTATTGTTATACAATGCACAGAAATGGATATCAACTTTTAATCTGAACTTTGTTTACATCATTCCATTGTGTTGTCTTACTGTTTATATTATTTCTATCATGTTATCTTCGTGTACGGCTTTGTGAACTGCCATCCCTTAAGAAAGTTTAAAATCGGTTACAAATCTTAGGACTGATGTTGAATAAAATGATTTTTACAAAATCGCATGAGCAAATCAAAAATATTTAAATTTAATTTCAGGTATATTTCTGTTGCAAGTTTTCAACTAAATTGCCCAGCTTTTGTTTCTTTCTCTTTTTCTATTAATCTTTCACTAAGGACATCGTCTATTAAGATCTATAAACAACTACCCCTCTATCTAAATCATCAATTGTTCTTTTTTTCTCTCACTACATATATATCTTTCTCACCAAGGACATCATCTATTAAGGTCTATAAACATTTACCCATCTATCTAAATCATCAATTGTTCTTTCTCTCTCTCTCTCTATATATATATATATAATATATATATATCTCCCTTACCAAGGACCTCATCTATTATTATACTTCATGTCAAAATGCCAGATTTTGATTAGTTAATATGAGGTAGATAATTTACTCTATCCCATGGCAAATACTCTATTACCCTTCACGGAGACGCTTGATCAAGTGTGCACTTTATTAAATACGGATGGTTGTTATGTACAAGACGTTATAGTTTATTTCTTTCAATTTGATATTTAATAGACAGTAATAACAGAACATTCAGTATAATAAATTAAATAACACATATCTGAGAGGGTGATAGAGCAGATTGTTACCCCTCGAAAAGACATTGTCAACCATGGCTTCACCTCAGTTGACAATGTTTTCTCTGAGTAACAATCTGCTCTATCACCCTCTCAGCTATGTGTTATTTATATATTAAGATCTATAAACATTTACCCCTCTATCTAAATCATCAATAGCTCTTTCTCTCTCACCAATGATATTATCTATTACATTCTATAAACATTTACCCCTCTATCTAAATCATCAATAGCTCTTTGTCTCTGTTTTGCCATGTCTAATTGTTGTTCTTTTTGTTCTTTCTCCTGTTCTTCTAATCTCTTTATTTGATTGGTTATTTTCTTCAAATTCTACAATTGAATTCATCAAACTCATTTTCAATTTAACTACAAATAAAATGCTCCGCTGGGGCGCAGCTTGATACGACCGCAGAGGTCGAACCCTGAACAGTTGGGGCAAGTATGGACACAACATTCAAGCTTGATACAGCACTGAATTTGGATTGTAATTAAATATTTGACACAGCATAGGTTTCTCACACAGAATGAAAGTAGTCTAAGAACTTAAAATTTTCAAACCATATCATTATTATTTGCTTTTATATATAAATCAGAAATAACCAATTCAAAATGGAAAATTTTAAAGAAAAAAAAGGAAAAAAAAATCCCCCCCCCCCCAAATTTTTTGAAACCCCCTTATGATTCATCACCCCCAAACTCAATCCCAGCCTTCCCTTTGTGGTATGGTACCTTGCAGTACAATTTCAGAGAGATCCATACACTTGAACACAAATTATTGTCTGGAAACTAGAAAAATGCTTGGGTTTTTTGCACCTTTTTGGCCCCAAATTCCTAAAAGTTTAGGGCAATTACCCCCAAACTCAAACCAAGCTTTCCCTTTGTGATATGGAACCTTGCAGTACAATGTCATAAAGATCCATACACTTACACACAAGTTATTGTCATGAAACTAGAAAAATGCTTGTTTTTTTGCCCCTTTATGGCCCCTAATTCCTAACATTTTGAGACAATTACCCCCAAAAACAATCCCAGCCTTCCCTTTGTGGTATGGTACCTTGCAGTACAATTTCAGAGAGATCCATACACTTGAACACAAGTTATTGTCTGGAAACTAGAAAAATGCTTATTTTTGGCCCCTTATTCCTAAACGTTTTGGGCAAGTACCCCCAAACTCAATTCCAGCTTTCCCTTTGTGATATGGAACCTTGTAGTACAATTTCATAAATATCCATACACTTACACACAAGTTATTGTCATGAAACTAGAAAAATGCTTGTTTTTTGCCCCCTAATTCCTAAAATTTGGAGGCAATTACCCCCAAAGTCAATCCCAGCATTCAAACCCTCAATCAGCATCATTTAACAGTAATATCTAAAAATGGAAATTACATAATAAAGGTATTAAAATAGAAAATGACATCATAGTCATGGCTAAAAATAAACAAAATCCTTAATCAGCAACATTTTACAGTAATATCTAAAAATAAAATTCCTTTGTAACCATAAAAGCCCATTTAAATACATCATGACAGATATTAAAATAGAAAATGACATCATAGTCATGGCTAAACATAGCAAAAACCTTAATCAGCATCATTTAACAGTAATATCTAAAAATAAAAATTTCTTTGCAACCATAAAAGTAAAATAGAAAATGACATCATAATCATAGCTAAAAATAAACAAAAATTTTTTTTATTACCAAATTTTAAATGGAGTTTATTAAACTAAAACAATAAATTTGCAACCATAAAACCCCATTTAAACACATCATAAAAGTATTAAATAATTCAACTACATCATAAGGCTATAAAAATAGAAAATGACTTCATAGTCAAGGCTAAAGGTAAACAAAAAACCTTCATCAGCAAAATTTTATATTGGCAAATTTCCAATGAAGTTTATTATACTAAAATTGTTGGCAAATTTCCAATGCATTTATTAACAATAAAGTTATTGGCAAATTTCCAATTTACATAATTTAAAAGCAGTGTAAGTGAGATATTTAAATGAGTTTGAATTACCAACCCTACACTGCTTTTAAATAATGTTTTGTACTTATTTGTCTATTAACCTGGAAACCCTTGTTTTTTCACCTTTTTTTCCCTTATTATTTAAAGGTTTGAGCCATAACCCTACCCCAAAGCCAATTCTTAAATTCCAATGTAACCTAAATTTACAATATACATAACTTCAATTTAAGTTTTTGATAAAATCAAACCACATCATTATTATTTGCTTTTATATCTAAATCAGAAATAATTAACCAACTTTAAGTGGAAAATTTTCACACATCACGCCCCCCCCCCCCCCAAACTCAATCCCAGCCTTCAGTTTGTGGTATGGTACCTTGCAGTACAATTTCACAGAGATCCAATTACTTAAACACAATTAATTGTTGGAAACTAAAAAAAATGCTTATTTTTAACCCCTTTTTTAGCCCCTCATTCCTAAACATTTGAGCAATTATCCCCCAAACTCAATTCCAACTTTCTCTTTGTGATCAGAATTAACCAACTTAAAATGGAAAATTTTAAAGAAAAAAAAAAAGGAAAAAAAATCCCCCCCCACCCAAAATTTTTTGACCCACTTCCCTTTGTGGTATGGTACCTTTAAGTACAATTTCAGAGAAATCCATACACTTGAACACAAGTTAATGTCTGGAAACTAAAAAAATGCTTATTTTTGCCCCCTTTTTTGGCCACTTATTAATAAATGTTTTGGGCAAACATTTTACAATAATATTTAAAACTGAAATTAATTTGTAACCTTAAAATTAAATAGAAAATGACATCATAGTCATAGCTAAAAATAAACAAACTATTGGTAAATTTCCAATGGATGTTTATTATATTAAAACAATAAATTTGCAACCATAAAAGCACATTAAAATACATCATAAAAGTATTAAAAAAAATTTAACTACATCATAAGGCTATTAAAATAGAAAATGACATCATAGTCAGACTAAAGGTAAACAAAAAACCTTCATCAGCAAAATTTTATATTGGCAAATTTCCAATGAAGTTTATTATACTAAAATAATTGGCAAATTTCCAATTTACATAATTCAAACATAGTGCAGGTGAGATATTTAAATGAGTTTGAATTACCAACCTTACACTGCTTTTAAATAATGTTCTTTACTCAATTATTTGTCTATTAAAATGGAAACCCTAGTTTTTTAACCTTTTTTCCCCTTATTCCTTAAACGAAAAAAAATAATTACCCCTTTTTTGACCCCCCCCCCCCCCCCCCCCCCCCCCCCTATGATTCATCACCCCCCTTCCCCCCCAAAGCAAGCTCAATAACAGCCTTGCCTTTGTGGTATGGTACCTTGTAATACAATTTTAGAGAGATCCATACACTTGAACACAAGTTATTGTCTAGAAACTAAAAAATGCTTATTTTTCACCCCTTTTTAGGCCCCTTATTACTAAACGTTTTGGGCAATTACCACAAAACTCAATTCCAGCTTTCCCTTTGCGAAATGGAACCTTGTAGTAAAATTTCAGAAAGATCCATACACTTACACACAAGTTATTGTCATGAAACTAGAAAAATGCTTGTTTTTTGCCCCCTTTTGGCCCCTTATTCCTAAAATTTCGAGGAAATTAACCCCAAAATCAATCCCATCATCGACCCTTTGTGATATGGAATCTTGTAGTACAATGTCAAAGAGATCCATACAATAACACACAAGTTATGTCTGGAAGTTACAAAAATGATTATTTTCGGCCCCTTTTTGGCCCCTAATTATTTAACTGTTGGTACCATAACCCCCAAAATCAATCCCCACCTTCCTATTGTGGTATTGAACCTTATGGTAAAATTTCATAGAGATCCATTCACTTAAACTAAAGTTAGAGTGCGAAAACCATTGTGTATTCGGACGACGACGCCGGACGACGACGCCGACGACGACGACGCCAACGTCATACCAATATACGACCACAAAATTTTTTTGCGGTCGTATAAAAATCTGATCTTGCATAAAGAAATAAATATATGCTATGGAAAAAAATTCAAAACAGTCAGATCCTTATGAAAAAAAACCAAGTATTTAGTTGAGGTTTTGACCATTGTGCTACCATTGTTTTCAGAGGATGATATTATTGCATAGTGGTCAAAATCTCAACTATAAATATTTATTTTCATAAGGCACTGACTGTTTAAAATTGTTTTTTTTTTCGTAGCATTAAAGATGAAAAATCATCAAAATGTTACTATTTTAATTTATTGAAGGATGATTTCAATTGTGTTGTTGATTTACTGTATCATTATATGGAGGGCTAACATACAATAAACAGGAAAAGAAAACTAATCGTTCCCAGCCTGTGTTATATGATTCAATACATTGTTAAAATTTCATAAGAATTCTCTTCAGAAACTCTTGAATGGAACTTATTTTATATTGGTTTTTTTCCATGCATGCTTTTCTTTATGATTTGATTGATTGATTGTTGGTTGCTTAACGTCCAGTGGTTTTACGATTTGAAGACAAAATGGGCAAGTTAAATTTTAACTGAGTTTTATTTTTGCTGATTAGGAAAATACATACAAAAAATCACTGCAGTACACAACAGAAATTTGATTATAATCAGACTGACAGAGAGTCATTGGTGACAATTATATACGAGTACTAAAAACTAAATTACAGTCAATGTTCTTCAACTTTGTATTTAATTTGGCATTTTAAGTTCTTTTTCATTTGAGCGTCACTGATGAGACAAAACCTGTGTCATGCATACAAAATTATAAGCCTGGTATTTTATGAGTTTTTTTTTTTAAAACTTAACCTTTACCACTTCAGGAAGTGAAAACTTGATAATTGTTTTAAGGTCAAATCAAAACCTGTGGGTTATATCCTCATTATTCTACACTTAACACTCTTCAACTTCATACTCAGTTTGGCCTTTTATTTTTTTTTTTTTCGAGCATCATTGGTGAGAAGCAACTTGCGTCTGGCGTACAAGATTAAAAGCCTGGTATTTTATGAGTTGCTTTTTTACAACATTGAACCTTTACCACTTCAGGAAGTTAATGAAAACTTGATAATTGTTTAAAGTTCAAATCAAGCCTGTGGGAGATATCCTTTATTTTCTACAATTAACACTTTAACATAAATGTCAATGTCAGAGCTTTAAGTTCAATGATTAGTACATTCCTGTATAATATAACTATTCTTGGATAAGTTTTCCTGAACAAAAGAACTTCAATATTTCCATCATAAAAGAATCAGCTTCTAACTTAATAAAACATGTATAAGACATCAATATTTTTTCTCCTACAATGTAAGCGTCTCTGTGATCAATTTTCGACTGGTTCATAACTATAAATGTTCCAAACACTCTGTGGTCCTTTTCTACTTATAAGGATCTGACAAAAGCTTTGTTTTAATAACTGATCAGATAATATTATGTTTCAAAATTTTGTAAAATGTGAACTTTTACTAAAACAAGAATGTGTCTATAGTACACGGATGTCCCACTCGCACTATCACTTTCTATGTTCAGTGGACCGTGAAATTGGGGTCAAAACTCTAATTTGGCATTAAAATTAGAAAGATCATATCATAGGGAACATGTGTACTAAGTTTCAAGTTAATTGGACTTCAACTTCATCAAAAACTACCTTGACCAAAAACTTTAACCTGAAGACGGACGGACAGACGAACGAACAGACGCACAGAGCAGAAAATATAATGCCCCAACTACTATCGTAGGTGGGGCATAAAAATTCAAGGATCCTTCTAGATGAAGCATGGACACAGGGTTTGTATTTCAATTAGATTGAAGTTATAATTACATCAAATAATTTGACTTGGGTATCAATTAGACATCAATGCATAATAATCCCCTCTTTTATGTCAAGCTAGTCTCACTTCTTTTACTGTGTCTAACTTTGGATAGGGTCAGTTTTTAAAATATCAAACCACAACAATTCATCATTCCTAAATAGCTGGGCAAGGTAAAATTCAGTCAATTAAATACAAAATTTATTTTAAAAAAAAATCTTAATAAAAAAATTCTAAACTGTCAGTTTCACCTCAGATGTTAACACATACTTGATTCACACTGCAAAACATAATTCCAACACACAATTGACTTGTTTAAAAAAGTAGTTATGTAATTTATTGTTTAGAAAGGAATGGTTTTATTACCTCCTCATGTTGGTCACCCATTTCCATTTTTAATTGTTCTATTTTATTACGATGTTTCCTCTCCATTTCATCCTTGACTTTCTCTACTTCAAGGTCATACTTTCTCTGTAATGATTCTACTTTTGTATTCTTTTCATCCTCTAATCTCCTCTGTTCATTTTCTGATGCTGACTCAACCTATACAGAAAGTATAGCAGTGAAATTTAAACATTACTTTTCTATTTCTTGTAATGCTATATAAAGTTTTTCCCTGTAAAAAACTAAGCTAATTTTTTTAGTAAAGCAAGGATTCTATAGACAACATATAGATTCCCCTTTTTCTCATAGTAAACAAAAAAGTTAGCAAAAAAAAAATGTCTGCAATCATGAAAATCTAACTATAAAAATATACATATGACAGATGGAAATTTCAGTGCATACGGCATCTGATTAAAAAAGAAATAAATTATCAAGCTCTTCTATCTTTCTGAAATATTAAGTTTATACAAATACTTCCTGCCTTCATAGCTAGATAAGCATCCCTATGTTTTGCTTCAGCAACATTTAGCGACAAATTTGAGAAAAATAGACAAGTTTTCACTGAGTGAATATTTATTTTTTTCACAAATATATACCTGATTATTAATTCTACTCAATATTTCTCTCTTTTGAGATTCCAACTTTGTCTGTTCATCTCTCTGCAGTACATTCACTTCTGCTCTTAAATTCTCTAATGCTCTATCCATTTGTTTTCTAAGTGATAAATATGAATATAATTATAATTAACCAGAGAAAATATTTTTACTGTTTTTAAATTTCAATAAGATAAAATAATTTCTTCATTTTATCAGATTCCTTCAGGAATAGATCAAATGTATACATATTTTTCAAGAGATAGATGACTTTGTTAACTGTTTTATTTTTGCCTTTTGTGGTTTTGATAATTATTATGAATTCTAAATTTTTAGCATGCATTTCATATATGGAAAAAAACAGAAAAAGGGTATTGATAATAGCAAAATGCTACTTCAACCATTTAAAAAAAAATAAAATGCTTTACTGAGTGCAGCCTGATACGACCGCAGAGGTCGAACCCTGAACAGTTTGGGCAAATTTGGACACAATATTCAAGCTTGATACTGTCTGAATTTGATTTGTGATCAAATTTTTGACATAATATAGGTTTCTGACACAAAATAAATGTGGTCAAAGATCTTAAAAATCTATTGCGCAATACTGTGCAATTGAAGATTTCTTCTTGAAACTTTTCAAAAATTCGAAATTTGAAAAATTTTGAAAAAAAAATATGAATCCCTTAAAAAAATTAGAAAAAAAAATCCACACCCCAACTTTTTGAAACCCCCCTTGGAGCAATAACCCCAATACTCAATCCCAGCCTTCTCTTTGTTATATGGAACCTTGTGGTATAATGTCAGAGAGATCCATACACTTACACACAAGTTATTGTCTGGAAACTAGAAAAATGCTTGTTTTTTGGCCCCATTTTGGCCCTTAATTCCTAAACTGTTGGCCCCATAACCCCTAAAATGAATCAAAAACCTTTAACTTGTGGTATTAAACATTGTGGTACAATTTCAGAGCAATCGAAATACTTATACACAAGTTATTATCCTGAAACTAGAAAAATGCTTGTTTTAGGCCCCTTTTGGGCCCCTAATTCCTAAACGGTCGGGACCATTATCCCCAAAATCAATCCCAACCTTCCTTTTGTGGTATTGAACCTTCTTAAAAAATTTCATAGAGATCTATTTACCTTAACTAAAGTTATTGTCTGGAAACCAATGTGTCTTCGGACAAAGACTCAGACAACGACGACATCATACCATTATACGATCCCAAAAAATTTTTTGCGGTCGTCTAAAAACCACAAAAAACTGTACAAGCATTTTCCTTCTAACTGAAATCGGAATCAGACCTTTTACTTTGATATAAAATCCATGTTTACTTCTATCTTTTTTGCAGAATCTTCAATCAATGAATAAACCATAAAATTATTGAAGGTCGTTACAATGCAAATTTGAACCAAAATTAGAACTATTTATTAAGTTATTTCTTTTGTATTTGAAAGGATAAAGTTCTCCATATAAAAAAACCAATGACTACAACTCAAAATATTTCAAAGAAATATGATGAACCTTTTTTACTTTTAATCTGGTCTAACATCAAGCAAATAAATTATTCATGCTTGATCAACTTAAAAAAACACTGTCCTTTTGAAATCATGTTGCATGGGAAGTGAAGGATATTAGAGGGAAAAATATGTTAACTATGAATTAGAAAATATTTATAGTGTTAAAAGGATTGATTGATAGTTTTGCTTAATTTCTAGTGACAAATATTTCATGCAAATTCAGGACAAGTGTAAAAAAGAATGAATATATGGAACTTTCATCAGTTATTGCTTAGGCATTTCATTATCTTTATTTTTGTCATTGTCAATTAAATGAACTTGAATAATATTCCGTAATATCTTGACAACATTAGCATACCGGTGATTAAGCGAGATGTATTTTGAATTGTAAAAACCAGCTTCTAATCAGCCAAACATTAAATCATAAAGTAACATACATGCAATGATTCTTTAAAAAAACATGTACATAGTGTAAATTTCACTTGAACAATTTATGTTCAGGAGGATTTTTTCTCCACATTCTGCACGAACTGTGAAACAATTAATTATAAACATGCAACAACAGTAACCCCTCCACCATTTCCATGCTGACAATTTAATTATAATAACAATCATGCAAATTGGTGTACTGAACATGAATTTTACCGAATGTTTACTTCCTCCTCAGACAGCTGTTTGTCAACTTCTCCTTGTATTCTACTAACTGAATTTTCGTTCTCTTGTTTGAGAACTGATGATTTTTCCTCCAACTCTGATTTGTATTGACTTTCTAAGTTGCTGATAGGAATACCAAATAAATGACAATTTGTTGGTTCAGTGTTTACTGTGTTATGTAGTCATCAAAGATTTCGTACATATAATATAGTCAACTTATTATCTACTGGAGTGAAAACTATTTATATTCATGAGTGCCAATAGTCATGGTTTAACAAATAATAAGTTCACAGTCTAGAAACTTTGTACATACCAACAGGAAATTTGCTTTAAATAACATTTCAAAATATTTGATATTTCAAATCAGCACCCAATAAATAAAATTGATTTCACAGTATCTAGAGTATGAGAAAACTATGTAAAAGGAATAAAGCAAGAAAGAATACTACAGTATCTACAAAAATAAGAAAAATCTTTGGCAAGAAGTCTATACTATTGCATAAATCTATAAAAGGACATAATAGAAGTTTTTGTTGTAAAGATGTTCTATAAAGCTTCTATAAATACTTCACTCTAAGCTTTAGTGCTATAATATAATGCCACAATGATTTAACACTATACCTGATGTACTCCTCATTTTCCATCTTCAATTTTCTTTCCTCTTCTTCCTGTTCTCTTTTGATTTCATCTCTCATTCTCTTTATTCTTCTGTCTTTGTCCTGAAAATTGTGAATATTAATAGTAAGCAGTTATATAAGCATGAAATTGAGGCTGATATATCAATAACTTTTTTGTCTCCTTATATTTGGTTTTACATGATAATTGACACTCTCATATTTAAAATAATTTATCAAGAACTTAACACACACAATATTTATCAAATCTCATCTACATGTATGAAGAATCTCACACCTGCAGATTTCAAGACGGAAAATTAAGGGATGCCAGGGAAAAAATTGTGTGGAACAAAAATATCAAAAAGAAAACTATTTGAAAATTTAGTGAAAACAGGGGGAGGATATCATGTTTCAGGTACGAGCCATAAAGAAATACCTCAAGCATTTCCAGCCTTTTATCCTCAAACTCCCTGTCAAGTGTTTCTCTTAAATCATCATATCTCATTTCACTTGAGGCTCTCATATTGTGTTCTTCTTCAAAGGTCCTGAAAAGAAATACACATTTTCTTATACTTGCATATCTTTTAGGTTTACTTCTATTTGTTTTTTTTAAAGAAATGTATGTGTATCAAAAGGAATAACTGATTTGTGGCCTATTAATGCTAGTGGCAATCATTCCATGCAAATGCAGACCAAAATCTTGTTAATTGGATGCAAAGATACTCTTGTTTGGACTAGACTGACATGTATAGTCAGTGTCAGTTTTTAATGTTCTAACAAGGTAAAAGTCCATATGAAGACAGGTATCCCTACTCAAACATATTATTCTGACTGAGGTGGCCATTCTTTCCTATAACTCCTAAATGCCAAATACTTGGTGGAAAAGCAGGAATATCAATTTTGAGGTCTTTCTTTTGGTCAGAACATGGATTAAACCAATGACTCACAGCACTACAGGCAAGTAAGTTATTATGAAACCATAGAGACTGCTAAAAATTGTTCATGAATAATTTTAAACACTAAATTTATGCTTTTTATCATGTGCAACATACATTTAATTTACAAGGTGGTTTAGGAGATGACATCACACTTTAATTTTGAATACTAAATAATGGAATCCTTATTTGTAATGTATTCAATTCTTTTATATATCTTTAACCTAAAATTCATGTTGATCTTACACCAGCCTTTGGAAATTTCAAACACCATGTATTTTATATTACAAGATTTTTTGGGGCTCTTTATAGCTTGCTGTTCGGTGTGAGCCAAGGCTCCGTGTTGAAGACCGTACTTTGACCTATAATAGTTTACTTTTATAAATTTTGACTTGGATGGAGCATTGTCACATTGGCACTCATACCACATCTTCTTATATCTATTATCCACAAAGACTATACAAAATTGTTAGTAAAACATTATCTGATATCAAAAACTTGCATTTTATCATCATAACTTTCTTGTCTATGTGTTGTCGTCAATCGTCTGAAATGTATACACAGATATCTTGAAAGCCATTTAAAACATTTTCAAAATAATTTCAACAAACTCACTGAGTCCTTTAATGTTGGGCTGCTGTCTCAGTTATGTGTGCTTTGTAAATTACATATCACAAGAATAATTTAATATGATTAACTGATTGTTGGTTTGTTACTTAACATCTTTTAAATGTCGTTTACAACCTCATTAATATCTATTATACAAAATACAAAATGTTGTATATTGTTTTTGTTTTTTTGTTAATTGTGAGTTGTACATTCTGCTGCATCATTTTCTTGTAGTTTGTTAGATAGAATGCTTAGTAAAGTTTGCATTTTCTTTCTTTTTTTTTCTTACATTTCTTTCTTTGGGGACTCTAAGTATTGTTGGAACTACAAGTTGTTTTGATAGATATAGCTTAACTCATGTCCAATTTTAACTTGTAGATTTTTTTTAAATATATTCATCGCAAAACATGACAAAAAAGAGACTATGAAGTGTAATGGTTACTCAAACTACTTTAAACTATAGATCTATTTATGCTTGAATTATTAAACTAAATGGATAATTATAATAAAACAAAATGATTTAATTTAAACTGCAATTTAAAACCCCACAACAGTGTAAAAAATAAGCATGTAGTTTTAGACATTGAATGACCTACTTTTCAGCAGCACTGGCAGCTATTTCCGCTCTACGTTTCCTCTCTTCCTCAAATCTGTCAATAGGACTCATCTTACCACCAGGAGAATCTCCTCGAGCAGTCGACATGGCTGACATTGTTCCCTCAAAATCATGTAACTGAAGAAAAAAATAGGATTAAAAAAATTGAAGAACACACAGTTTTAATTTGAATAAAATCTGATTTCTCATGTGCCTTTATAATTCTTTAAATCTATCTTTGTTGCCTTTGTAATTGTGTCTGATCCATGGTTTGATCATGCTCAATTTTGTTAATCTCAAGCTATTCATCACATTTTTACTTATACCTTATCATTTCAATTTCTATATGATTAAAAATGGAGCAGTTTTCCCATAAGTTAAACCTGTATAAACCGGCCGGCTATGGGACTATGAAAAAGGGCCGGTTTGGACAGTGAGCCGGTTTATTCAGGTTTCCATTTTGACCGGAAATTAATGACCTGTGACGTCAGATATTTTTCATGTAAAAGTTCTGTCTGATTGTAAATTGTAAACTGAATACCGTAATACATGTAACTACGCACGATCGTTGTTTTGAGTCTTCGTATTCATTGCCTTTAGAAATTGGTTGTTCCCCGAATTCAAAAAAATAATGTTTTAACCTTTTTAACATATCCTCGTATGTCAAATCGACCTCGGTAGCATCAGTCTCCGACTTGTCAGTTTCACTTTTACTTTGAGATCATTGTTTTCATTTGCATCAGAATCCTCGCGTTGTTTGAATTGTTACACGAGAGTTTCATTTACTTCCATCGTTCATTGCCCACATTGCTATAGCCGATTAAAAAGCCAGAATTTTATCAAATGAAATTTCATCACGATCTAAACATTGTCGTACAGTGCACGATAACAATGGATTGTCGTCATCCGGGTCTTCTTCATTATCAAGGTTATTGGTTTCGGGGTTCACAACAAGGTACCCATCATTTCGAAAACACGATGAAATTTTCTTAAATGCGATTTTAAAAAATCATCAAAGTTACAACGTAAGTTCTATCGGAGATATATTCCGCGTTTCTTTTAGTTTTTTTAATTAAAACTTTTATAGTGTTTCAATATTGCAGCTCACTACTGTAAGTTCACGGTTTAACACCTTGCTCATTGATTATCCTAAAAAAAACATCTTGTATAAACAATTATGTTTTGTTTGCATATCGATCAATACAGTTATCATTTTAAATTAATTAAACAAACCAGTTTTGACAGGTAATGATTGATGTAATTAAGAATATTGGGACTGCATAATTAGACCGGAATTCGGAATACACAGGGTCCGGTTTACAAAGGGTATTTTTACAAAGACTTTGAAGGGAAAAAAATGGGACTTCAATTTTCGGCCGGAATGGACAGGAAACCGGTTTATTCAGGGTCCGGTTTACTCAGGTTTGACTGTAAATCTTTAAATTTATTAAAAGTACGGTAAAACTGCCCAGTAATTCTGTCCTTTCAATTTTAAACAAACATAAAAGTTAAGAAATACATAACTGCCAATTAAGTAGCTGGCAGAATAACTATTATGCTAATTAATACAATACCTTTTCTAGTGAACCCCTCACTGGTTCTAATGTACCTATATCCATATCCATAATTCTTTCGGATAAATTCTTATCTATACCAAAGTCCTGAAATATATGTGTCATGCTTAGAATATATCATTGTAAAAAAGAAATTTCAAAGATCTTTGATAACATTACATGCAATTCAAGCCTTAATTTGCCAACAGGCACACATAGTTTTCCATATGTTTTTAAATTAATTTTTTTTATATAAGGATAAAGTCTAAATTCAAAATATAAAATAAAATTCTATTTGAAATACATTATTTTTATATAATAAATTGAACTCATCTTACTATACCCTAAAAACAATTTCTCCCATCAGACAGAAAGAGGCATGTATACAGGTGTCTGTTTTGTATGTGGAATGTTTAATTATGTAGTCATGTTCTGTTGTACAGGGGACATTAACTTCAATGGATAGTGCAATTGTTTTTGCACACTCAAGTACCCTTACAATATCATTATTTGCTATTTAAGGTGACATCTTGCAAAATATGTCCAAAAAAAATATTGGAAAGGAACAAAGACATTGCCTTCATAGGTCAAAAATTTCCCACATTAATATTTTTTTACTGAGAAACTAAACAAAACCTATCAAACAGTCAAGCCACTTTAATCCTTACATTGGTAGTCTTTTTGTTTAAAATAAAGAGACTTCTCTACAACACACTTTATTTGAACATGTCATGAGAAAATGTCGATTTGTAAAGCTTAATTACTATCATCTTCCAAAGCCTGCATATTTTTTTACTTACAATTTCTTTACCAAAATCTTCACTGTCTGTTTCTGATTCCCCTTTAGGTTGGTTTTGGTCACTTTCTCCAGATTCCTACATAGATGTATATTTATTCAACAAGTTTTTTCATATGACATTTTCCCCTAACACTAAGTATGCAATTAAAATGCATAAATTTACAATTCAAATACTTAACCTTCAACTAAAATTATGTTTTACTAGAAATAAAAATTATAACATTTTGAAAACCCCTATTGCATTTATTCATATTTTTTACATTGATTCTTTTTTATTTTCGATGTTCATGGTTTTCAAAATAGTTAGATTTATATGTGAAGCATTGGATTAAAATGCCTTTCACTGCAAACCATGTTAGATGGGTTGTCGTATTGCATGAAAATAAATCTATGTACATACACTTACTCTACAGTAGTTGTTTCATTTAATTATAAGTTCACAAATTCAAAGTTTACATATTCATGCTGAAAAACTATAAATGTGTACTTCATTGTCATAACAAAAATCCACACAAACTGTTTTTGAAAATGTTAGCATGCTCTATACAATTGAACTTTTCATTATACTTATTTCTAATGACCTGATATTCCATTTCTTGTGGTGTCAGGTTTACACTGTGATGTGGCCTTTCCTCTTCTGGACCCTAAAATAATAGAATTTGAGATATTGAACAAGTGTGGATAAAAATTACTCAAAAGGCTCATTAATGAAATAATTATAGTTTTAATGTTCAGACAATACATAAGATATATACCTTTATAGCTACTTCTTATACACAGTGGTTTTTGTAGTGAGACATGTTTAGTAGTGTTAAATTCCAACAACAATAAATCAAATCGATTTTAAGCTCATCTCAACAACACTTTATAGAAAACAGGACCTATTGTATCATTACTTATTTGAAAGAAATGAAGAAATTAATGTGGATTCATTTATTTTCATGGATTAAAAAAAAATTGTATTTTCATGGATATTTGATTTCCTGGTTTTACAAAAGACGGCATGCATACAAGCCTTATAGATAATTTTGGCTTCAATGAACATTTAAATTCGTGATTCAGCTGTACCCTAAAAAGACACAACAAGAGTGCACACGCTGAAATGTCTCGCCTTCTTTACTAATCATTGATATTATGTTGATAGTCCTAAATATAAAGCTTTCTTACAACTGTCACATAAACTTAACATTAACCAAGAAAACTAAACATTGACCAATGAACCATGGAAATGAGGTCAAGGTCAGATGAACCATGCCAGGCAGGCATGTACAGCTAACAATTTTTCCATACAACAAATATAGTTGACCTATTGCTTATAGTTTAAGAAAAACAAACCAAAACACAAAAACTTAACACTGAGCAATGAACTGTGAAAATGAGGTCAAGGTCAAATAAAAACTGCGCGACTGATATAAAGACCATAAAATATTTCCATACACCAAATATAGTTGACCTATTGCATATAGTATTAGAAAAAAAGACCAAAACTCAAAATCTTAACTTTGACCACTGAACCATGAAAATGAGGTCAAGGTCAAATGACACCTGCCAGCTAGACATGTACACCTTACAATCATTCCATACACCAAATTTAGTTGACCTATTGCTTAAAGTGTAAGAAAAACAGACCAAAACACAAAAACGTAACATAAGCAATGAACCATGAAAATGAGGTCAAGGTCAAATAAAATCTGCCAGACTGACATGTACATCATTAAATATTTCCATACACCAAATATAGTTGACCTACTGCATACAGTATTAGGAAAACAGACCAAAACACAAAAACTTAACATTTAACAATGAACCTTGAAAATGAGGTCAAGGTCAAATACAACATGCCAGACTGACATGTACATCGTAAAATATTTCCATACACTAAATATAGTTGACCTACTGCATACAGTATTAGAAAAACAAACCAAAACACAAAAACTTAACATTGAGCAATGAACCGTGAAAATGAGGTCAAGGTCAAATAAAACTTGCCAGACTGACATGAACATCGTACAATATTTCCATACACCAAATACAGTTGATCTATTGCATACAGTATTAGAAAAACAGACCAAAACACAAAAACTAAACTATGACCACTGAACCATGAAAATGAGGTCAAGGTAAGATGACACCTGCCAGTTAGACATGTACCCCTTACTATCATTACATACACCAAACATAGTAGACCTATTGCTTATAGTATCTCAGATATGGACTTGACCACGAAAACTTAACCTTGTTCACTGATCCATGAAATGAGGTCGAGGTCAAGTGAAAACTATCTGACGGGCATGAGGACCTTGCAAGGTACGCACATACCAAATATAGTTATCCTATTAATTATAATAAGAGAGAATTTAACATTCCAAAAAATCTGAACTTTTTTTTCAAGTAGTCGCTGAACCATGAAAATGAGGTCAAGGACATTGGACATGTGACTGACGGAAACTTCGTAACATGAGGCATCTATATACAAAGTATGAAGCATCCAGGTCTTCCATCTTCTAAAATATAAAGCTTTTAAGAAGTTAGCTAATGCCGCCGCCGCCGGATCACTATCCCTATGTCGAGCTTTCTGCGACAAAAGTCGCAGACTCGACAAAAATTGGTATCCCACGAATTATATAATATCCACAGGTGTCATGATGTCTGATCTATTCTGGTGACACTGCACTCAAGTATCCTGATCTATTCTGGTGAAACTGCACTCAAGTATCATTTTATTTTCAGGTATTAAGTATCAAACTTGAATTTACAAGTAGAAAGCTATAATTTGTAAAATCAATTTTATCCTTATCAAATTATACTCACATCGTCTTCAAACTCATTTGAGTAAAAAGGAATTGACATGCTGCTTGTGAGGTTGCCACTTTTACTCAGCTTTAGGGAACCTGTTGTTGTGTTGAAACTTGACTTCACCTAAAACAATTATGTTATCTTAAAATTTATTGTTGACAAAAATTTACTAAAAGTTCATACTATGACAAAGAATTAATGCATTTGATTTTTTTCTTTCTAGCCAGGATGTAGATGTTCAGTGCCTGTATCATCTTTTTTGTAGCAAATTTATTTAATTCATGTAAAACATTGAATCCTTCATTATTGTGGCCAACGTAAGCTTTGAGGTATGAAGTGAAAATGTTGTTATGACTGAAAACCATGCAGGTACTTCAAGATGTCTTGTATTTGTTTGTCTCTTTTAATGTGTACATGTTGTCTTATGAACAGCTACCTCTCATCTTAAACCCCATGATACTTTAACCTTTTCAATATTGTCATTCATCAGGTCAGTTAAATTTAAACTCCATCATAAGTTATTTCAAAAATTGGTTGATGTTGAATAGAACTACCAGGTGAAAATTAGACAAAACCTCAGATAAAGTAACCTATATAAAGTTATATTGATAAAATTAAATAACACTGACCAATTGACAAAAAATTGGAAGAGGAACAATCATTTTCTTCCTAATTTGAATTTCAATAGACACAATGATATATTTGGCTGTACAAAGTTTTCACATGTATATTTAATGTTTCACACAACTTTTCCAGTAGTTCTATATTGGAAGAAGTTTGTAAATATTCAAAATGTATGAACTATTTTCAAGCTTTTTTCCCTCAGCAAAGCACTATTCTGAGGATGGCTGCATCACAACTAAGGAATATCTAGGTACTCTAAAAAGAGACCCTAACTAGCATGAGTAAAACACAAAACCAATCAGTTTCTACATCAGATTTCATGCTACCAACACAATTCTTCCTGTGACATTTTCATGCAGTCACACTATGATACAGGAAACATGAAAATGTAGTGTTATCTTATTAAATGTAGTGTTATCTTATTAAATGTAGTGTTATCTTATTAAATGAAGATGTTGATGACTTTTCTACTTTCTGTAATCCTTCTAGCATGCAAAAAAACTTACTGTTGGTGAAATCTACAGAAATATGGATCCAAGAAAAATTTCATTTCAAATTATTTCAAAATATTAGACAACTCCATTAAAGAATTATGGGAGTATAAAATCTGTTGCCACTATCTTGGATCACAAATTATCATCATAGATATTTACTGAAATAAGCAAATGTCTGTTGCAATTGAATTTTCATTTAATATTAGACCTTTTTACCTAGATTCTCCTGCTGTTGTGGGTGAGTTATAATAATTCTCCTCCAAAGATAGTTAAATTTTAGATTTTTAGCGTGCAAGAATTAGTGAGCATTTTAAAGTCTAAAAGTTAATTATCTGAAGAGGAGAAAAACTGTTTTACATCTTGTATCCCAGGACCTTTCATATATCTTTTTAAAGCACTATTACAGGACAAGATTGTAAGATAGGAATAAAATGTTTTAATTTTATATAAAACACAATGTGTGATAAGGGCCTTTGTTTTCACAGATAATTGAACTTCCAATTTTTAAAAGATTTCTATTTATTATGTTTATGTTTATTTAAAGTTGAGATAATAAAAAAGTAAAAACATGAAGTTAAGGATCCATGATGTCACAATAAAATTAGTAGTAACAATACAGGAAAGCCACCTCTATGTGTTATTTGTAAAAACACATAGATTTTTGTTGATTTTCATATTGTTTGGGACATGATAAAAATATAGTCTGCATCGAGAATCAACTTATTAATTTACAATAACATTTGTCTATATCAGGCCAACACCTCTAGTTTATAAATTCATTTGGTTCTTTCATGCACACGACATTTCCTACACACAAATATGTGTCAAAACCATGTATTTATGTCTATTTTCGAAGAAAAATTTAATTCATGCAATCTTATATCCTTCAAATCTCTTAGATTAACTATATATGAAAAACTTTACGATATTTACTCTGCTCATACCTATCAATCTTCTTTGACAAAAATCACAACTTAATTTTATAATACTTTATTTTTTTTTACCAAATAAGGCCCTTAGTACAACTTATTGCAAACTACTTTATACACAAAGTGAATCATCAAACAACATTTCTAGACCTTTTGTTTCTTTAAATTCAAATTGTAAATGGTGAACCAACACCTTAGGTAGTGATTTTGCGGTAGGGTAATAAATGAGTGAATAGGTATTCACAGTTTGTCTTTGAAAAAGTGAGAAATAATCAATATTAAAGACAAACACTCGTACAAGTGTTGTTGTCTTTAATATCAATTATTTAAATTCAAATGTTAAAATATTATTTCAGATGGAACATAGCATTTTTAAACTGTGCATGTATATTAAGAAAAAAAGTATTGGCATTGCTGTTTTTGTATTCTGTGGATACGTACCGGCTGACTAGTTCCTGTTGATCCTCTTAGAGGTGCTAATTGTCCACCCAATGATCTCATCGGTTCTAGTCCACCATGCATTGATGGTGTACCCATACTCTGTTCTGCCTTTAATGGGCCAAGTTGTAACTGAAATAGTGAATAGAAAATAACTAGATGTGTCAGTTCAACATAAACGCCCCATTTTCAACAATGAGAATGGGGAAAAACATTTAGATAGTAATAGTAGATTAACTGGAAAAAGACTTTAACTCAACTTGAATATCATCAAATATACATAAATAAAAAATAAACACCCCCTGCAGACAAAAAAAGTATTGAAAAAGGTAATTTGTAATGAATTGTTTAAAGAACAAAGTCTAAATTCTGTCAATAGTAGGTCAAATAGATGAAAACATGGACCTGATTTGTAACATATCATATTAACTATATAACAAAAATAGACATGGACAAAAAAAAAAAGTAAAATTTTAAATCAAATTTTCCATGTCAAAGCATTATATCTAATCAAAGCGCTGTAAGCACTGAAGGCAGTTAACCAAAAGCCAAGGCAAACGTAATTATGAAAACTGTGGCAATGTTGCTTCAACATTAAACATTCATATATTGTACATTTATGTTTATCTAATGAATTAATTATTAAGGCAAATAATTTATATGTTATCAAACAGGAGGGGTGGGTGACCCCATGGACTCCCCCTATATTTCATTTGATAAGTTATATTGTCCCATACTTGAATATATATGGTTTAGAGGTGGGGATCCCAACCGTTTCAAAAGTTCCCAAACAGGAGGGGGTGGGTGACCCCCGGAACTCCCCTATATTTAATTTCATTTTAGTTATATAGTCCCATACATGAATGTATATGGTTGAGAGGTGGGGATCTCATCTGTTTCAAAGTTATCAAACAGGAGGGGTAGAGTGGCCCAAAGGACGCCACCTATATATCATATGATTTGCTTACATTCAGGTATTATATAATATAGTTGCATTATTTGTGAAAATAAAGTAAGAAACTTCCAGCTACTTTAACCAGAGACATATAACCATCCAAATTTAGAAAACTATACCCCTTCAAAATTGCAGTAATATGTTTACACTTTAAAAGCATCTTACATGCATTATCAACATTTATCACTGATAAAGAAAATTTATACTGTGACCAGGATCATATATATTGTTAGATATACTGTGACCAGCTGTCACATTGTATTGGATTTTGGCATTAAAATTTGTCAAAAGGTAATTTTGAGTTTCTGTATAAAATATTTTCTGCTTTTTCTTTCTTTTACATATATCTTTTGGTTTTCAATTCTAGTGTTTATATTCATTTACCATGCATAGATGTATTTTGTCACCTGCCTGGATTTTTTTTTTAGTTGATCGCCAAAACCCTGAATTACCCTTATCCGCTTCCGGAGTGGATCCGATATTATAATTGTCTTCACGGCATCCATTGTCATTGTGTTTACAATGTTTGTTTTGTCAGTCAGATACGATTTTACTCGAATTTACACATTATTTGTCGGCGATTTTCTGTATAAAGCTAGCGGTTGAACAAAATGAACATTGATGTCATAAATAATAATGATGAAAATAAGTTTTGAGATCGTTTATTTGGAGACTTTGGTGAAAAGGTTTGCAAAGTTATTTTTTATTTTCTTTCAAGTGGAAGGTCTGTCGGGCGTAGCTAGTAACCAAGTCGAAAGTCCTATTACAAAAGTGGAAGGTCGCGGACCTCGGACCACCTCTAGTTTAAACCCCTGCCTCCAAATTAAAAAGATACGAAAATTTCGTCTACTAATTTGAAATTGCCGCCAACAGCATGAACAGTTAAACTTATTATATAATAGACTTCTGACGTAGTTGTACTACGTATTGACGACAAACAATATTCCTACGACTTTTGCCATTTGGGAAATCTAAACTACTTGTCTTTAGAGATTTTCGGCGATTAAATATTTCATACAATTGTTCTTTGACATCTCAGCCAAAAGCACAGGCGATAATAAACTACATAAGGATTCCTAAGGAGCACTACTTCCTATGTGCAACTTCAAAACTTTTGGGTGATTCGACGATCATTAAAGGTTTTTCTGGTCATATTTTTTGTAATCCAGAATTAAAAGTATTAAAAAAGTGTTCAATTAGTTATATATAACATAGTAGCCAGCTAGATAATAACAATGGCAAGTATTTCAGCATTTATTGGGTAGGACACAAATCTAGGGTGCTCGCATAATGCAGCTTAACTGCATAAAAATATGTCAACTGTAATGAAACTAAAACTCAATCTGCATTTCATTACGTTCCATCTACATACCCAAATTCAGTGCAATAAAAGGAGTAAGAACAACAATTATTTTTTAGAATGAGGGATTGATAGCATGACTTAAGATAAATCTTTGTGCCCTCAAAACACTCAGAAAACAAACAGCAGACATCAAGCTATTGACGGCCACTTGTAGATCAAGTAATTTTTCAAAATCTAGCATTTCATTTTGGGTTTTACTCTATTCATTTGCCCATTTGCCCATCAATGTGTCTATGAATTTCTTTCTTTCTTTTTGTTTTTTCATGAGAAATTTCTGTCCCTAGATTTGTACTTTATTCAACAGAATGATAAGCTAGACATAATTTTTGATGTCTCTGAACAGGAAAATGTATGAATGCAAATAAACATTTTTCACACATACCTTAAGAGACAGGAATTAAAAGATAAAGTAAATGACCTACCTTAGGTTTTCCTGGTTTCTCTTTCTTTTTCTTTCCATCATCCTTTCCAGCTTTTCCTTTCTTTCCTTTTAAAAAAAATATAATCTAATTAAAATGAGACAGATAAAAAAAACTCAATAAATGATTGTTTTTAACTTTTTTTCCTGTGAGTATCATTGAAATATTACTTTTATCAACATTAAAACCGCATCAAATATATAAACCTTAAAACTCATTCTATACATGTTGCCCTAGTTCTTAAACCACTTTACCAACATTTTAAACAAGGTCTACTTTATAGTAGTCACTAAATTTTTATTACTCTTTTCAACTGTGAATATATCAAGAAAAAGTTTAAGCTCATTGTGGAAACAGTAAGTAGTAATTGAGAAAGCTTTATCAGCATTTGTTATTAAATTAAATAATTCCTTTACTAGACTTAAAGATTTTTTCTTTAGATATCACTCACATTACAGAGTTACATTTTACATCATGCCTATTACAATATTTCACAAGGTGAAGACCCTATACAAATATTCAACAGGAGACATTGACAAAATATTATGTAGACAAAAAATGGGCATGCTTGCATGATATATTGAAAGGTCTATTGTAGAAGGGCTCCAACTTACCAGGAGTAGCTGGGGGGCCTCCACTTGGTCCTCCACTTCTAGGTGGACCTGAACAAATAAACAAATATTATATAATTACTTACGATAACTATAACATGCAGTGCATTATTTTGCAAATAAAATGCTTCGCTGGGGCGCAGCTTGATACGACCGCAGAGGTCGAATCCTGAACAGTTGGGGCAAATATGGACACAACATTCAAGCTTGATACAGCTCTGAATTTGGATTGTTATTAAATATTTGACATAGCATAGGTTTCTGACACAGAAAGAATGTGGTCTAAGAACTTGAATTTTTTTAATTTACCTATTATGGTCCAATGTCCAAAATCAAAATACAAGGTTAGATTCAGCATATCAAAGAACCCCATATATTCAATTTTTGTTAAAATCAAACAAAAAAGTTTAATTTTGGACCCCAACTTGGACAAACTTGAAAACTGGGCCCATAATCAAAAATCTAAACACATGTTTAGATTCAGCATATCAAAGAACCCCAAGAATTCAATTTTTGCTAAAATCAAACTAAGTTTAATTTTGGACCCTTTGGACCTTAATGTAGACCAATTTAAAAAACGGGACTTAAAATTAAAAATCTAAATACACGGTTAGATTTGGAATATCAAAGAACCCCAATAATTCAATTTTTGATGAAATCAAACAAAGTTTAATTTTGGACCCTTTTGACCTCAATATGAACCAATTTGATAGCAGGGCCCACAAATAAAAAATCTAAATTCATGGTTAGATTCAGCATATCAAAGAACCCCATGCATATATTCAATTTTTGTTGAAATCAAAAAAAGTTTAATTTTGGACCCCAACTTGGACCAACTTGAAAACTGGGCCCATAATCAAAAATCTAAACACAAAATCTAAACACATGTTTAGATTCAGCATATCAAAGAACCACAAGAATTCAATTTTTGTTAAAATCAAACTAAGTTTAATTTTGGACCCTTTGAACCTCAATGAAGACCAATTTAAAAAACGGGACCCGAATTAAAAATCTAAAAACACTGTTAGATTTGACATATCAAAGAACCCCAATAATTCAATTTTTGATGAAATCAAACAAAGTTTAATTTTGGACCCTTTTGACCTCAATATGAACCAATTTGAAAGCGGGGCCTACAAATAGAAAATCTAAATATATGGTTAGATTCAGCATATCAAAGAACCTCATATATTCAATTTTTGTTGAAATTAAACAAAGTTTCAATACTGGACCCTATCTTGGACCAACTTGAAAACTGGGCCCATAATCAAAAATCTAAACACATGTTTAGATTCAGCATATCAAAGAACCAATTTATTATGTTTATAGTACCCTTGTACTTATAAAGTTTCTCCATCTTTATATTCTACATGTTCAATCTAACATTGTTTTTTTCCAGTATGTTCTTTAAATTTTTTACTTCATATTCTATAAAACAATCATTGCAACCAGAACATTTGTTTAGCTGTCTGCAAATAGCTTTTATTTTTTTTTTTTTCTCTTGCAAATAGTTTTTATTTGCAAACTCAGAAATTCATTCTACCTGTAAAGTTAGGGTCATAGTTATTATATAAATTTCAATTTAAGCCTTAAAAGGAAGTATAGAATCCTCAAATAATTTTCAAATTATTATTTTTTTATTTGTCCTAAGACATTTAAAATAATTTAATAACCATCCTTTTATGATTATTTGTTCAATTTATATTTTATTTATATTCTTTTAAAAATTTTCATTATTAAAAGGAAAGTAACTTAAAACAGGATAAATCAAGGGAAGTAACCCAATAAATACACAGTTTTTGTTACACAACGGCAGTTAGCCTGAGGTAAAAATCGTTGCTTACCAGTATGTTTGACACCCAAGCTGACAAGTGAAGCCATATAATTATGCATGTTAATTGATTTACAGGTAAAATATAACTTCAGGTAATGTCAGTTACACCAGATGCCTGAGATGTTATGTTGGGCAGAAATTTTTCATTCATGAAAAATTTCATACACAGGATTTTTTCAACAGGAGGTCGGGAGGAGACCCCTGAAAACGGGATTATCGTACTCCCGTCGGGAGGTTCACATGTATGCCTATTCAAACCATATCATTATTATTTGCTTTTATATATAAATCAGAAATAACCAATTTAAAATGGAAAATGTTAAAGAAAAAAAAGGAAAAAAAAAATCCCCCCCCCCCCAATTTTTTGAACCCCCTTATGATTCATCGCCCCCAAACTCAATCCCAGCTTTCCCTTTGTGGTATGGTACCTTGCAGTACAATTTCAGAGAGATTCATACACTTGAACACAAGTTATTGTCTGGAAACTAGAAAAATGCTTGTTTTTTGGCCCCTTTTTGGCCCCAAATACCTAAACGTTTAGGGCAATTACCCCCAAACTCAATTCCAGCTTTCCCTTTGTGATATGGAACCTTGCAGTACAATTTCATAAAGATCCATACACTTACACACAAGTTATTGTCCTGAAACTAGAAAAATGCATGTTTTTTTTGCCCTTTTATGGCCCCTAATTACTAAAATTTTGAGGGAAAACCCCCAAAATCAATCCCAGCCTTCCCTTTGTGATATGGAACCTTGTAGTACAATTTCATAAAGATCCATACACTTACAAACAAGTTATTGTCATGAAACTAGAAAAATGCTTGTTTTTTGCCCCTTTTTGGCCCCTAATTCCTAATATTTGGAGGAAATTACCCCAAAAATCAATCCCAGTATTCCCTTTGTGATATGGAACCTTGTAGTACAATTTCATAAAGATCCATACACTTACAAACAAGTTATTGTCATGAAACTAGAAAAATGCTTGTTTTTTGCCCCTTTTTGGCCCCTAATTCCTAAAATTTGGAGACAATTACCCCCAAAATCAATCCCAGCATTCCCTTTGTGATATGGAACCTTGTGGTACAATGTCAGAGAGATCCATACACTTACACACAAGTTATGTCTGGAAGTTACAAAAATGCTTATTTTTGGCCCCTTTTGGCCCCTAATTCCTTAACTGTTAGTACCATAACCCCCAAAATCAATCCCCACCTTCCTTTTGTGGTATTGAACCTTATGGTAAAATTTCAATGAGATCCATTCACTTAAACTAAAGTTAGAGTGCGAAAACTAATGTGTATTCGGACGACGACGCCGGACGACGACGACGACGACGACGCCAACGTCATACCAATATACGACCACAAAAATTTTTTTGCGGTCGTATAAAAACAGGACCCAAATTAAAAATCTAAAAACACGGTTAGATTTGGCATATCAAAGAACCCCAATAATTCAATTTTTGATGAAATCAAACAAAGTTTAATTTTGGACCCTTTTGACCTCAATATGAACCAATTTGAAAGCGGGGCCTACAAATAGAAAATCTAAATACATGGTTAGATTCAGCATATCAAAGAACCTCATATATTCAATTTTTGTTGAAATCAAACAAAGTTTAATTTTGGACCCCAATTTGGACCAACTTGAAAACTGGGCCCATAATCAAAAATCTAAATACATGTTTAGATTCAGCATATCAAAGAACCCCATATATTCAATTTTTGTTGAAATCAAACAAAGTTTAAATACTGGACCCTATCTTGGACCAACTTGAAAATTGGGCCCATAATCAAAAATCTAAACACATGTTTAGATTCAGCATATCAAAGAACCCCAAGAATTCAATTTTTGTTAAAATCAAACTAAGTTTCATTTTGGACCCTTTGGACCTTAATGTAGACCAATTTAAAAAACAGGACCCAAAATTAAAAATCTAAATACACGGTTAGATTTGGAATATCAAAGAACCCCAATAATTCAATTTTTGATGAAATCAAACAAAGTTTAATTTTGGACCCTTTTGACCTCAATATGAACCAATTTGATAACGGGGTCCACAAATAAAAAATCTCAATACATGGTTAGATTCAGCATATCAAAGAACCCCATATATTCAATTTTTGTCAAAATCAAACAAAGTTTAATTTTGGACCCCAATTTGGACCAACTTGAAAACTGGGCCAAAAATCAAAAATCTAAATACATGTTTAGATTCAGCATATCAAAGAACCTCATATATTCAATTTTTGCTAAAATCAAACAAAGTTTAATTTTGGACCCTTTGGACCTTAATGTTGACCAATTTGAAAACTGGACCCAAAATTAAAGATCTAAATACACTGTTAGATTCGGCATAACAAATAAATAAATGTGATCAAAGATTTTACAAATCTAATGCGCCATACTGTGCAATTAAAGACTTCTTGAAATTTTTCAATATTTGAAATTTGAAAAAAAAAAATTTTTTGAAGAATAATTCTTTTTAATTTCTGAAATCTGAAATGAGAAAAAATTGACCCCCACAATTTCTTTTTATCCCCCCCCCCCTTTTTTCCCCCTAAAAAATTCTTTCCCTCAAGATATGGTCATAATCTCAATTCAAATTTCCAATGGAGTTGGCAACCATAATTACCCATGGATTTTTTTGTAAAAAAAAAAGATGCAACATTTGCAGATATTTTTACTGGTCTTCCTTTATAATTATGCATTTCTTTAAACATAATTTAAAAGCAGTGTAAGGGAAGTAACCAAAACGTTGTATTTGGATTACCTCCCTTACACTGTTTTAAATTATCTTTATTGTTCATTAACCATTACTTTATACATAATTTAAAAGCAGTGTAAGGGAGATAATTTCAATGATGTATTTGATTTATCTCCCTTACACTGCTTTAAATTATGTTTTGTACTAAAGTATTTGTCCATTAACCAGGACAACCCTGTTTTCCCCCTTTTTTGCCCCTTATTCCTAAACGGTTTGAGCCATAACCTCCCAAAGCAAATCCTAACCATCCCTTTGTGGTATGGAAACTTGTAGTATAATTTCAGAGAGATCCATACACCGTTCCACAGTTATTGTCTGGAAACTAGAAAATGCTTATTTTTGGCCCCTAATTCCTTAACTGTTGGTACCGTAACCCCCAAAATCAATCCCAACCTTCCTTTTGTGGTATTTAACCTTATGGTCAAATTTCAAAAAGATCCATTCACTTAAACTAAAGTTAGAGTGCGAAAACCAATGTGTCTTCGGACGACGACGACGACGACGACGCCAACGTCATACCAATATACGACCACAAAATTTTTTTGCAGTCGTATAAAAATGATAAAGTAACGGACGACGACGCCAACGTCATACCAATATAAGACCACAAATTTTTTTTGCAGTCTTATAAAAATGATAAATTAAAATTGGTTTCACAAACATGTTTAACCCGCCATATTCTTTATGTGCCTGTCCCAAGTCAGGAGCCTGTAGTTCAGTGGTTGTCGTTAGTTCATGTCTGTCATATTTGTTTTTCGTTAACTGTTTTGTTATACATTAGGCCGTTAGTTTTATCAATTGAATTGTTTCATATTTTTCATGTCGGGGCCTTTTATAGCCTTACACAGTATGGGTTTTTCTCATTGTTGAAGGCGGTATAGTTGCCTATAATTGCTTACATCCACTTCATTTGAACTTTGGTGGATAGTTGCCTCTTCGGCAATCATACCACATCTCCTTATTTTTACATTAAACTTGACAATGTTTCTTTTCTTTTATTTATAATCAAACGAAAAAAGGCTTCAAAGCAATTTAGCAATCTTATTTTTATCTGTGTGTGTGTAAATGTATGTGTTTATAGAGATATAACATACAACATGTTCCTTTTGATGGTTTATTTCCTCCAATGGGACTGTAGCCACATGAAAATTCTCTTCATATTCTATCTTTTACTATACTGAAGAATTTTAAATTCTATTGCGATGTAAAAGAGTTGAGCGAAGCACTTCATACTCAAAATGTGTGCATGATCATGGCTTTCACAATCCAATTAAATCACAGATAGAAGCATTCAATTATATTTATATTCTACAACCATAAAATTACAAGTTATATCAAGCTGTTTTCCTATGCATTTTTGTGACATTGTCATGGGAATCATTTGCTGTCATGAATGTTGCATTTTATTGAGAAATAAACTATTATTTTGGAATGCCTTGTGATTGTTTTCATCCAATCAAAAGTACAGATTCTTATGAAATGTACATGTTATGTAATTATACAAAATTATCTGTTGTGTTACCTGATCCTTTATTCATATTAAACTTCATTCTTTCCTCAATCACCATCTGTCTGTAGAATTCATCACAAGGGTGATCCCATATACTGGTACCCAAGGCAAAGTTAAAGTAATACAGATCTCCATTAGTGTCTTGGCTGTAAAGAGATGATGTTTATGCATGAATGCTTCATGTTGGACAATGTTTTGCAGTGCAAAGTTCTACATCTACATCTATACTATTGAAAAACTTATAAAAGTTGGGTCTTATACAATAATATATATAATATAAGAAAAATGTTCAAATTAGAATGGTTTTTATATTGACATGTTTACAAAAAAATATATATTGAAAATCACAGAAATCGATACAATTTCATCACAACTAATATAACTACAAGAATACATCTTTTATCAGGGTTCTCACTAATGATTTTCAGGATGCGTCTAGGGACTTGTTGTTCTTTGACATAGGGAGTCCAACAGTCAAAAGATGAATTTTGTTGCACTATAATTTATCATTTTAGTGACAAATAAAATGCTCCGCAGGGCGCAGCTTGATACGACCGCAGAGGTCGAACCCTGAACAGTTGGGGCAAGTATGGACACAACATTCAAGCTTGATACAGCTCTGAATTTGGATTGTGATTAAATATTTGACACAGCATAGGTTTCTGACACAGAATGAATGTGGTCTAAGAACTTAAAAATTTTAAATTGGACATTCAGCTATTATGATCCAATATCCAAAATCTAAATACATTGTTAGATTCAGCATATCAAAGAACCCCAAGAATTCAATTTTTGATGAAATCAATTTGGACCCTTTTGACCTCAATGTGGACAAAGTTGATAACGGGGCCCAAAAATCTAAATACATGGTTAGATTCAGCATATCAAAGAACCCCATATATTCAATTTTTGTTGAAATCAAACAAAGTTTAATTTTGGACCCCGATTTGGACCAACTTGAAAACTGGGCCCATAATCAAAAATCTAAATACATGTTTAGATTCAGCATATCAAAGAACACTAAAAATTCAATTTTTGTTAAAATCAAACTAAGTTTAATTTTGGACCCTTTGTGTAGACCAATTTGAAAACGGAACCAAAAATTAAGAATCTAAATACACGGTTAGATTCGGCATATCAAAGAACCCCAATAATTCAATTTTTGATGAAATCAAACAAAGTTAAATTTTGGACCCTTTGGACCTCAATGTGGACCAATTTAAAAACGGGGCCCAAAATCCAAAAACTTAATACACGGTTATATTCAGCATATTAAAGAACCCCAAGAATTCAAGAATAAAACCCCATTGAAATTGATCAAAAAATAAGCAATTTATAAGAAGTATCTTCTTTTGCACAATACTGTGCAATTGAATTTTTCTTGCTATTGTGCAATATTGTGCTATTGGATATTTCTTGCTATTGCGCAATACTGTGCAATTGAAGATTTCTTGCTATTGCGCAATACTGTGCAATTGAAGATTTCTTGCTATTGTGCAATACTTATTATATAAAAATTTACACATCCTGTTTGGTGTGTATCTCCTATAATATCATTATTATTTGCTTTTAAATATAAATCAGAAATAACCAACTTAAAATGGAAAATTTTAAAAGAAAAAAAAAAAAGGAAAAAAAAAAAAAAAAAAAAAAAAAAAAAATCCCCCCCAAATTTTTTGAACCCCCTTATGATTCATCACCCCCAAACTCAATCCCAGCCTTCCCTTTGTGGTATGGTACCTTGCAGTACAATTTCAGAGAGATCCATACACTTGAACACAAGTTATTGTCTTGAAACTAGAAAAATGCTTATTTTTGGCCCCTTTTTGGCCCCCAATTCCTAAACGTTTCAGGTAATTACCCCCAAACTCAATTCCAGCTTTCCCTTTGTGGTATGGTACCTAGCAGTACAATTTCAGAGAGATCCATACACTTGAACACAAGTTATTGTCTTGAAACTAGAAAAATGCTTGTTTTTTGCCCCTTTTTGGCCCCCAATTCCTAAACGTTTCAGGCAATTACCCCCGAACTCAATTCCAGCCTTCCCTTTGTGATATGGAACCTTGTGGTACAATGTCAGAGAGATCCATACACTTACACACAAGTTATTGTCTGAAAGTTACAAAATGCTTATTTTTGGCCCCTAATTCCTTAACTGTTGGTACCATAACCCCCAAAATCAATCCCAACCTTCCTTTCGTGGTATTGAACCTTATGGTAAAATTTCATGGAGATCCATTCACTTAAACTAAAGTTAGAGTGCGAAAACCAATGTGTCTTCTGACGACGCCAGACGACGACGACGCCAACGTCATACCAATATACGACCAAAATATTTTTAATTTTTGTGGTCGTATAAAAAGAGCAAAAAAACGTCATCAAATTTAGATAATTTTTAAACTTTTGATATAAAATAATGATAAATGTGCTTAGTTGATACAACAAATTATAATCTTGTACTGCTGCTTTGGACTCACTGGTTTTGAAAATTATGAGTCCAAACAGATTTTCATGAGCCCAGGACTTATGGACTTGACTTAGTGAGAACCCGGTTTTATGCATTTTTGTAAAATAAATCTCATTGAATTATACATGGATACCCAATTGTTTCATAAACATTTGTAAATGCAAATATTTGCTTTTTTCTCAAGATTTACATCTTATCTTTCTTCAATTTCAACTTTTCATTAACATAGATGATGCCACTAACCATGGTCTCCAGTGTTCAGGTAATGGTGCAATAATTCCTTCTTTAGCTATCCACATCAGGTGACCTTCCTTGTAAGGATCTATGCCAATGATCTGAGCATACTCAAATATCTCTGTAAAACACAAGAAAATGAACTTCAAATCATAATGACTTTTTTATAACATAAGTACAGTAGTATTCTACAGTCCATAGTGAGAACTCAATTATATAAAAATTCACTTGCAGGGTAAGGGTCCAAAGCACTAGCTATCTTATGGGCTTCTGAACTGAAAGCCCTTTAAACTTTTATATCTGAGGCCCATAATTTGAATACAGGATTAAATTCCATACTAAAAATGTATTTACCCGGTAATGTATTTAATGATGTCTTCTCTCTCAACAGTAACAGATAGGTATTACATACAGTTTTTATAGGTCTTCATTGTTTGTCTTTGTTCAAGTGATTTAATTCTTGAATGAATTGGTGTTTGTTCAGTTTGTTGTGCTGTCTGTTTTTTTTGGGGGGTAATTCCACTTATTTTTTTATTGGTTATTATTCAATTCAGAATAATTTTATTGTTTCACTCTGTTATTAAACTATCCCATGGTTGCTTTGAACTGAGGGATTCTTGTCTCACCATACTTCTTGTGTTAGATGGCCTCTACACAGCATTTCTCATGAAACCTGGATATTTTTCATCCATTTGAACCTGTGAGAAAAGAATCAAACTCTCACAAAAATGCATGCAATGAAAACCTCTTCAGATAGGAGATTTTCCCAGCCTGCACACATTCCAGTGTTAGATTCTTAATTTTGGATTTTCCTGAAATTGGTAGTCAATGATTGAAAAATGTATGCTAATTTGTACAAATTTGTAAAAAAATTACAGACCTTCATCTGTTGGCTTGTAATTCTCATCATAGTCCTCTTCCAGGACAAGCTGCTCTCCCATCATCATCTTGGCAGATTTTAGTGTGGCCAGCCTCTAAATGAAAGAAGAAGGAATCTCTGTATGACCTACAAAGTAAACCTTACGTTTATAAAGTGTAAGTTATTGTTAAGAAGGCAGCTTAAAGCAGCATATATTCACAACAGTGATGAACACGAAATAAATATTGTCATACACATGGACATACTTGTCACTATAAGGCATCGGCATAGATGGCAGATCCTAGCACTATAAGGCAAAGGCATAGATGGCAGATCCTAGCACTATAAGGCATTGGCATAGATGGCAGATCCTAGCATTATAAGGCATTGGCATAGATGGCAGATCCTAGCACTATAAGGCACAGGCATAGATGGCAGATCCTAGCACTATAAGGCACAGGCATAGATGGCAGATCCTAGCACTATACATGTAAGGCACAGGCATAGATGGCAGATAATAGCACTATAAGGCATTGGCAGATCCTAGTACTATAAGGCATTGGCTGATCCTAGCACTACAAGGCATTAGTACATTTGTAGATCCTAGCACTATAAGGCATTGGCATAGATGAGAGATCCTAGCAGTTAACTCTGAAGTAGTGTGAGCAGCTACACCAAATTGTTACTTTTTTCTTTCTATTGTTGACTGATTCTTTTCAAAATTTTATGGGCATTTTACATCATTGAGTTTTTATTGAATTATCATCACACTGCTGTAATAATATGATACATGCATTTATTTCAATCTAGTGACCTATATTAGAGTATAAGAAGGCATATAGGTAAAGTGTTTTAATCTTGCTATCAATTATGGCAATCATTCTTTGATCCAATTTTTTATTGTTTATATTTAGCCTAAACGAACATGTTTAAGGTCTCACTAACTTCCAGTTTCTTTAGCTTTAGGGAGTAAATGTACTTTAAAATTAAACTTTAACATAATTTTCAATATATCTATTTTTTTACAAGAAAATTTAATCATGGGAGGAGCGTTTCTAAATTTCTCTGCATTAAATTTGCTACTAATGAACATTTCAACACTTTACATTATCAGGACTATGATAAAATAAAAATATACCCATTCAATTAATGGATTGATTGGTGTTTAATGCCACTTTGTGCTATTTTGTGGCAGTCAGTTTTTATAGGTGGAGGAAGCTATTCAAGGGGAGTAATTCTACATGCATTTTTGACCTACATGTTATTTTTCTGGCTGTTCACAGTTACAAATTTTCTCCAGGAATAATAAATAAAACAACTTAATTGTGACATTTTTATGGACTGTTGTCATTTATTAAAAGAAATCATGGATTTTGTGTTTTAATAAACCCAGTTAATGAAAGTCCATTCAAGCTGAAGGAATCATCTGTCCAACCCAGATAAGACAATAGTCAGACAACAAGATGTTTGCAGTACAAATCATACTTTTTAAAGGCTACCAAAATTATTAGAAAAGAGTCTTAAATTGTTATTCAACAGCTTGACTCTTAATCTATTTATCAGCTTTTCTCCCCATTATCCAATAATTTCCTGTAAAATTTCTTTATCCTTTTATTTACAATATAAATTATCTAATAATCCTTAATTATGAAAGAACCAGTTTTAATTTTAACAATTTAATACATATTTCTCTATATATTACATGTTTCATTCAGATGGAATATACACCTTTTAAACAAACATGCCTTTCTGAAATTTTATCTGATTTTAATAAATAAAATTCAAGAACCATATTACAAATTTGGATATATATACATGTGCAAGTTATATAACAAAAAAGTGTTTTTTTAAATTTTGCTGGTATGAATATTTTTGAATTTTTTGAGCAATTTTTCCATTTGTAAAGGGGCATAACTCTAGAACGGTAAAGTGACGCCACCAAAATTCAAACTTGATCTGTGTTTTGTGGTAATAAGCATTGTGTATAAGTTTCATAACATTTGGTTGAGGCAAACTAAATTTAGAGAACAAAAACGAAAAATTCAGCAATTTTCCCTTTGTAAAGGGGCATAACTCTAGAATGGTTAAAGTGACGCCACCAAAATCCACACTTGATCTGTTTTTTTGGTAATAAGCATTTTGTATAAGTTTCATAACATTTGGTTGAGGCAAACTAAAGTTAGAGAACGTAAACCAACTTTGGGACATACGTACGTACGGACAAGGGTAAAACTTAATGCCCCCTCCGCTACGGATATCATAAGATCTGTAAAAATCAGAGACTATGCATGTTTTACAATACATGTACATTTGAAGATGAGCATAATTTTTTTAAATGCAACAGTTTTCTACATTAAGCCACATGTTGCAGTTGAACCAAAAGAACAGCATAATATCATGTTTTTTTCTCAGACTGTTAAGAATGTTATATTTCGTGTTGTTAGACCAGTCTCAGGTTAGAGGATGATTGGGCACCTGGAAACATATTTATCCCCACAACATTCTGTATGTGCCTGTAATTCAGTGGTTGTCGTTCGCTGCTGTATATCATATTTTCTTTTCGTTTATACGTTTGTAGTTTTGTACAGGTTGTTAGTTTTATCATTTGAATTGTTTTACGTTTGTCATTTCAGGACCTTTTGTAGCTTGTTATGCAGTAAGGGTTTTGCTCATTGTTAAAGGCTGAGGGTGACATCTAGTTGCCAACATCCACATCAATTGGATTCTGTTGGATATTTGTCTCATTGGCAATCGTACCACATTACCTTAGTGTTTCCTGCAGGAGGTTTTGGCGTGGTATGGCGCCATGCCCTTTTTAGGAAAAAAATTTGGTGCCATGCCCGTTTTCCGTCGTATTTTAGAACGCCCTGCCATAATTTAATATCGGTTCTAAAATTCATCTTTTAGCGAGACCATTTCAAGTTATTTCCCTTGGAACGAAATCAAAATTTTAATGGCCGACATTTTATTGAATTTAGTAATTATCTGATTATGTTTGAACAGTTTTGAAGCTAGAGTGTATAAATTCGATTCATGATTGAATCTAATATGGACAACATCCATTTGTACCTCTACGAATTCAAATGTAGACAATTTAAAATGGAACAAGGCGATCGTTTGAGTTACAATTTTACGATGCATGGGATGAAAATTACCACTGATTACGTAAACAATCCGATGTTTGTTTATATTTTCTATTTATACTATTCAGTCGGTCGAGACGTCGGATTGGATATGAATTTATGACGGCTTTCATACTGTTGTTATCTTAATAAAATTAAAGTTAAAAATATAGCCGATATGGTTTGAATAGTAAGAAAAATCAACAATGTTTCAATAAAAAAAAACACAGATGGAAAAAAGATTACAAAAGCAGAAGAATTTGTATAGTAAGTCTTGCTATACAAATCTTTGAATATTCTTAAACTATTTGTACAGTTATGAGCCAAGGTAGCTTTGATTTGTATAGACATGCGAGATCCATAAGGTATTTAGCACTTCTAAAAAGCAATGCATTACATATGCTCTATGTCATGCAAATCCTTAGACGATCAGTATCAGTGATCCAGTATTAAAGTTTATAACTGGAGTCATTGATTGAAATGAGACAGTTGCTCAATGAACATGATCAAGATTCTATTAGCTGAGTATAGAAGTGATAATTTTATTACAAAAAGGAATTAAATTAACAACCTAATAGTATACATCTCTTTAATTCTTGCCAATAAATATGAAACCATGGTATATTCCATTAAATCCCTATCCATTACAGTGCCTTTATATCTAATATGTAAAGAGTGCCCTAAAAGTGTAGTCCTCCGCACAAAGGGTGCCCTTAAAGTGTAGCCAATCGCGCTAAGATTGCCCTCTGAGAAAAAAATTACCTTGCCCTTTTCAAAAGCTGCAGGAAACACTATACCTACGTTTTATTTAAATATCATACATGTACATGTATATTGTATAGGAAAAGGATATTTTTCTCATGGGTTGTGGACATTTGTTATGGTTTGGAAATTATCTCCTCTTTTGCTGCTTTTTCTTACCTGCAGGAATCTCTACTTCTATAAACTTTCATAATTAATATTTAACTATAATATGTTCAACTAGTGAATACATATTATAGTTATTTAAGTTTATTTCCTTTTTAATTCTTGTAATTACATGTATCAGTACTTACAGTAATCAAATTCATAATTTTTCAAACACATGTAATTTAACCAAGACACATCATACTCATATAAAATGTATCTAAGACACTTAAACTTTATCTATAAGGCTAAGCAATCTAATTTTATCACTTTAATGCAATCAGCAGCATCCTTTATCCTTGATCTGGTGATTTGATTTGTATTTTGTGTATTAATCAAGCTACAATGTACATGTACATGTGGTCTAATGATAGACATACAAAGGATGGGATGATATGTAAAGACTCAATAGCCTTCATTTTCTTTATGGGACCTGACCCATATAGGTCTATACTAAACATTCTAAATCACCCTTTACACTAATAGTAATATAACCATGAACTGAACTCTACTTGTAAGTTACAGAGTCCCTCAAAGAAAATACAGGACAACAGAATGGTAGACATCATATATTAAGGTCAGCCAGGTAAGCACAAACATGGTCATTGCAATAAATATACTAATAGGATGATTTTTAAATTTCTGAAGTTCAGAAATATTAAAAAATCAATCCCTCTGAGCCGACTTTGGCTCTACCCTTGCGATTTATTTGGGCCGAATTACATGTTCATATAATGTGTTAAACACAAGTATGACATTGTAACCATTTTCGTAAAGTGCTGTTCTAAAATAACACTTGTTTTGAATGAAAATATGTATCATTTGACATTTAAAGGGGTTGAGTTTGACAGTTTGCTTTGTTCAGACATGTTTTGATAGTTTCAAATATGTAAAAAACTGGGCTTTTCCTAATCTTTTTCCAGATAGCAAGTCGATGAATATATTCAGGTTCAGGTACATTATTACTTGCTTCTTGCATTAGGACTTTACATGTGTAGTGTTTGAAAAAGTTTGGAAATATGTTTACCTTTCCAACGACAGTACATTCTTTTTTACCTGCTGAATTATGGGTAATCAGGTAAACAAATTTATAAAACTCGAGCAAAAACCGAATTGGTTACGAAAACTTTATCCGGAATAAATTTGCCAACTACCCGACTTTCGGTCTAGTTTTTCAGTTGACTCTAAGTCTGATATCATCTTTTTAAAAAAAGATAAGTAAATTATCTATGATTTTCGAATCTTATATTCTATCTATGTGACAACAACAGTTTAACCTATAGTTCTATACGTTTTGGCCTTAAAGATAGGCTCAACCGAAGAAACAATTTTAAGGTTCATTTCTATGAGGACTTTTTTTTACGTCAGGGAGAAGGGATACTTTTTTTATTTTCAATTTTTAGATTTAAACAAATGGAACAAAATTTCTAAAGGCTCTAATATTAGAGTATGGAGCGCTAACCTCAGTTGATTAATTACTTTGCCGACTTTGCATGAAGGAAATATAACAACACTTAACATCATCACGGTGGCTTATTTCGTGAATGAGATCGATTGCAAGTAGTGATGCATCAATGGGACAATAAATGATAATAGCTACATAGGAACAAACGAACAAAAACTGCAAATTTTCAAAATTCCAAGGGCCATAAGTATAAAAAAAAAATGGTTTAGAAGTCTAAGTGTTTGCTACAATCTGATGGTTATGGTTAACATAACTTCTATTTTAAATTGAAGAAATTCATTTATGTTCTTTTCGGGACAAGAAAAGTCTTGGCAGAGTTTTGAACTGTGAAGGGCAATACTATTGGAACCAAAATAGCCTGGAAAACAAAATTTAAAACAAATCTAAGACTTATGGTGAACACGTTCTTCTCAGTCAAAATGTGACTTTGCAACTTTCACCAGTTTGACAGAAAAGGAGCTTTTTGCATAGCTTTTGAAATGAAAATAAACCAATTAATAATTTTTAGAGTGTAAAAACTCATTGGACGTTTTAGATCTATTACGTGTTTTTTAGGGTCCTTTCAATTAGGTTGACAGTTATGACCATGATTATATACACTACACTTCCACACAATCTTGTCAAACAGAAGTTTTCGAATTTAATTAAAACTTACTTTGAAAAACGTGACTGCAAATTTATTTGCTGCAACTCATATAAAGGAATCTTCTCCATGTACCGAAAAAAGTAAATGTGCTAGATATCCTTACAGGAACTGTGATGAGATGGTTAAAGCTATAAATTCTCTCCTTGACAACATCTATGTACGTTTCAGATAAAAAAAGTTTATAGACAGGTAGTAGTCCTATAATATAAGACTTTGGAGTTTCATATCATTTACATTCAACGTTTTTTATCGGATATTTTTTTTTAACTATCAATGTTGAAACCCGCAACATTGATAGTAAAAAAAAAATATCCGATAAAAAACGTTGAATGTAAATGATATGAAACTCCGAAGTCTTATATTATAGGACTAAGACAGGTAGTAGGTATTTCTGCACTCCTTTAGTAGCAGACTTTCAAAACTTTTACTAAATTTTATCATCGGTACAAGGACATCATTCGTAAATATAAATCAACGTGCAGACATCTTATACGTTCAGGTATTTCACATCCCATTTATGGTAATATTCTATACAAAGAACAAAAATATCGTCTTTCATCTCAAAAGCTAACCAAACCTTTAAACAGACTTATTCAGAATGGATAAAGTTACGATACTGTTGTCAAGTTATTAAAGATGGCATGTTTGGGAATTAATATTAATACATTTGAATCGGAAATAAACACATTTATTCTAAAACCAGTTGTTGGCATGATACGAGTTATGTTCTTCTCGTATAATTTATGATGGCACATTACTAAACACCTAACGGGAGGGATTGTGCTTGATTTACATTTGATAGACACAATCTTTCGATCAGTTTAATTGAGGTCTGGAGCTGGCATGTCAGTAACTGCTAGTAGTCGGTAGTCCTTTGTTAATTTATGTTGATCATTGTCATTTTGCTAAGTTTCTTCTGTTACCTATTCTAACATCTGACTCGGACTTCTTTTAAACTGAGTTTTACTGTGCGTATTGCTGTGTGTTTGTTTATTCCACATCGACTATATGTATAGGGGGAGGGTTTATATCTCACAAACCATGTCTAACCCCGCCTCATTTATGCGCCTGTCCCAAGTCAGGAACATCTAGCCTTTGTTAGTCGTGTTTTTTTAAATTTTAGTTCATTTATGTTTCGGAGTTAAGTGTGACGTCCATTTTTGCGTTTAGGGACCAGCTGAAGCCCGCCTCCTGGGATTGTTGAAGACCCATTGGTGGCCGGCCTTGGGCTGTTTTCTGTTCTTTGGTCGGGTTGTTGTCTCTTTGACACATTCATCGTTTCCATTCTCATTTTTATTGTTCCTATATTGTTATGAATCACAGTTTATATCTAAACTCAAGAGTAAAGACCCGTCTAAATTCCATCAAATTGATAAATTTTATAAGTCTTACCGTCACCAGAATGATCAGTAACCGTAAGTGGCTTGTTGCAAGGCAAAATTTCTGTCCCTATCCAACACACCCTTATTTTCCAATGGCATTCTGAATTCCCCGTCCGTTAATTCCTCTAAGTTGACCCCTACCTTGCGTAACCTACCTATTGTATCATTGTTAATTTGATCTCGTCCTGAACACGCATGCAATACTTGCCACTGGACGTAAAGCAAACAACAATCAACCAATCCTTTTCTAGTTTTAGGTATCAGTTTCATACTGGAAATTAACGCTATTGCAAAAATGTTTGTTCCTTATGCAAATTTTCCTTAATTGGACGGCGATTTTACTTTGGCCCTTTTTTAACGGTTTGCACATTTAATCGGTACTTTGTGTCTTTGTCTTTATTTTAGTTGTTTTAGTCCTTCGTGCCAATCTGATTAGATGAGTCAAGCCACTTCCAACGGATTTTTACATTTTGTTCTTATATTATGCTGTAACACCTCTGTCCCAAATTAGGATTGGCTCGAGAGCTCATATAAATCTTTGCCCCGCCCCATTGTTTATGTGCCTGCTCTAAATCAGGAGCCTGTTATTCAGTGTTTGTCGTTGATTGTTGTCCGTCATATTTGTTTTCGTTTGTTCGTTTTGTCATACACCAGACCGTTGGTTTTCTCTTTAGAATCGTTTCACATTTAGTAATGTCCGGTATGGGTTTTACTCATTGCTGAAGGTCGTACGGTGACCTATAGTTTCTTACATCCACGTCAATTGGACTCTGGTGGATAGTTCTCTCATTTGCAATCCTACCTTAGTTTTATTTTAATACCTTATAGCAAAAGGACATATATTTTTTGTCATGGGTTGTGGACATTGTTTTGTTCAGGAAATTATATCCCCTTTTGCTGCACTTTCTTACCTGTAGGAATCTCTAAGTTTGATGAAATTCTTTTATGTTGATCTGAGTTTTATGTTCATAAATCTTCATAGCAAGTTTGAATGTCATTTTGTTTCATTCAAAAGAATGAGTTGACATCATCGGGAGACGGTCCAGAGTATAATAACATGGGACATAATATATTATTAGTATAACACAATACTTTATACTGCCGGTATATTGTGGGTATTTAATTCGTCGGGAATTAAGAAGAAATGGGGGTTGAAGAATTTTTCCTGAAATCGCAAGTTCCAATAATTAATCTCGCATTTTTCAATAATTTCTGAATTTACAGTATTTACTTGAGCATCAGTGCATGTCTCTTTTCACACACAAAATTACGATTAAAATGTTCATGCCCATAGATTTTTTTTCTGAAAATAGCTACTATTTCCAAAATTTACAGGTTTTACCGGTTTTTCCACAATTTTTGTTATTTAGAAATACTACGATGCTATTCAGTACTACTAGGGGGTGTTTAACGACCTTTACTACCCATGAGGGTCTCGAACGGTCGGCCATGTCTTACGCCTTTTTGGACATTTTAATAATTTATTATTACCGTATGGTAATTATATAATTTGGGAGACAAAAACGATAAATATTGTAAAAAGTAAAATGAACAGTAATTTGATTAATAAATATTCAGTCTTTAAAATTCAGAATTTTTTTTTCTCATTTAGAACGAATACGAGGTTGTTCAGTCATTAAAATTCAGAATATATTGTAAGAGAACTGCACGAATATTAGTATTAATTGTTATAATAATTACAATGATTATCTAAATTTAGAATATTCTAGCTGTTCTCAGCTACTTGGGTTAAAAAGACATTTGCTATTCCAAACTGCATTATGCCTTCTATAGCCGACTATGCGGTACGGGTTTTTCTCATTGTTGAAGGCCGTATGGTGACATATAGTTGCTTATATCCACTTCATTTGAACTCTAGTGGATAGTTGTCCCATTGGCAATCATACCACATCTTCTCATTTTTATATGAATAAAAGGTTGGTGGAAATAGTGATAAACAATATCATTGTCATTACTAAGGATGCCTGGCCGAGGACATATTACTAAGGATGACTGGCCGAGGATACATTACTAAGGATGCCTGGCAGAGGACCTTAGGTCTGAACTTAACATATCACTCAAAACAAAAACAAGATTGAACCATCATAACATATATTTTATATGAGAGGGGTCCTATACTAATTACCGCTTTGCTTTGAGACAAAAAAAATGTATAAGGGTTCCGCGGAACCGTGTGTCTCGCCTGCGATTGCTGCTGTCAGTGTAAAAGTGTAATGCTGACTTAAAATGTGAGTCCATTTATCAACAAAATACAGAAATAAAAACTTTTCTTTATTTATCAAGTCAAAATTTTTTACTTAATCCCAGACTGTCTGTAAATGTTAACTGTAAAAATGTAAGTCCATCTATCAGAAAAAAAACGTAAAAAGAAAAAAATATATTTTTAAAGTTTGCTTCAGACATTAACTCTTAATCATAAAAAGCTTCTGCCAAAGTTCCATAAAATTCTATGAAGGTTTGACAAAGTAATTGATGTGTGACAAACTTTGACCACAAACTGTATCTACTTGTTAACTGTAAAAAAAAACTAATAGATATAGGAAGATGTGGTATGAGTGCCAATG